TCTCCTCAGGTGCCAACGGGTTGACAGATTATACCTTCAAGTATTTGTGGGTCTGCCTGATGTCTGAGCTGGTGACTCATTATGTATGTGGGCACAGGGGATTCCCAACAGTGAAGGGAAAGAAGAAAAAAGAAAAAGCCTTCCTCCACTCTGCAGCCTTGAGGGGATGTACAGTTCAGCTGACAGCGGGCCAGTGGGGTCGGTCGTGGTGAGTAACAGGCAGGGAGCGAGGGAAAGAGAGAGGAGGGTGAGTGCTGATGTGGAGCCGGCTGAGGCTGAGGGGGTGAAACGTGATGTTGTGGCAGGAATACAGGGTTAACAGAGAGAGCCAAGGGTCAGTATTTAGCAAAATATCTGAGGCTGAACTGCAGCTGGCTCTGGATGTGGAAAGTGAAGGGAGTCTGGGTGTGGAACCAGACGCTGAAGCAAAATTTCCCCTGCCCATCCACAAAACAATGACACCACAGTTTCAGTCCATGATATAAAGACCTTATTATGTCTTTGAAAATACAGAAGAGAAGAGAAGAGAAGAGAAGAGAAGAGAAGAGAAGAGAAGAGACTACAATAGAGTAGAATAGAGCATTGCATGTGCTCACTACTCAGGCAGTGAGCTCAGGAAAAAGAGCAGTCATACAGTGAAGTTACTACTCTGTATGAGCGCAGTATTGTGCTGTTGCATGGCAACAGTTTCCACAGAAATCTTTGCTCAGAAACACTCCTCTTTGGTTTCACATAACTGCAAAGGCAGAAAAATGGGCTGACTGCAGGAATACATATGGTCTCATGAACCATTTTGAACCATTCAGCTTGCAGAGGCTAAAGGGTTTTATTTTTTAACATATATCCAGAGCATCCAACACAAAAAATGTAACATCAGCATTTATGTAGTTTTTATGTTCTAAACCATTTTATACTGTATTACATTAGACGCTGTAGGCCACTTGAGGATGTGTGATGTTTATCTGTGATAGAATATGTGCTACTGCAGCTTCCATCCAACATGTCTCCAACTGATCAGATAATGGTAATGATTTACTGTCAGTCCTGAATGGTAAATCTCAGGCTTTCCTCTGGATAAAAATGCTATGAAATTATTCCTACTGCTCTGATGGAAAATCTAAGCAAGAGCAAAAGATACATATAGCTGCTAACCAGCTTTATTTATTACACAATGCTTGTCAAAATCTGTACACTGGTTAATAGGGCTTTGTTCTGTTAAAGCAACAGTTTTGGGGAAATATGTTTTTTCGCTTCATGCTGAGTGTGATACAAGAAGATAAATATCACTCTCATCATACAGAGTGGTATCAGTGTTTTTGTCTAACTGTCAGCTACTGAATGAAAGAGTGTAATTCCCAAAATGTGGAACTATTCCTTCTAAAGTTGCAGATCAGTATCACATATGAATAGTCCTTTGATGATCTGTCTTTATGGAGCTGTAACCAACAATGTGATTTCATTTAATCTTGCCAGTTGTGTTGTTTAAGATCCAGTGTGTAGGATTTAGGGGGATACATTGGCAGAAATTTAATATATTTATATCTATTTTTTATATATTGTTTGTGTGTATAATCTCCTGGAAAAAAGGCATCGTCGTGTTTTCCTTACTTTAGAATACATTCAGTCATAATGAGGGGCTCAGGACCCCCATGTTTTCGAATTGGGTGGTCTCCACTGGACGATGACAACATACAGCAAGATTTATTTAGAAGAACTGTGACTTTTACTGCTATTAAGATATGCATCATAATATTTCTTCCTGTGAGTGAAAGTGTGAGTGTGTTTGTGATCATGTGTTGCTGTATTGCATTGCTGTATATTCTATGCTTGTATAGATGAGGTGTCATTCATAGTGTCCTCTATACATGTCTGTTTCCCTCAGATTAGGGGTGGGTGGATGGGGTGATATTGTATAAAGTGATTTCAGGAAGAATGGTGTACATATATGTATTTTTTTCTGTTTCTGTTTACAGTTGCTGCTTTTTGATTCTTTAAATGTACACTTACTATGGAACACTAATGAAAATAATAAAACTATTGAATGAGACCTTAAAGTAAGCCGTTCATATCTACGTAGGGAGCAGGTTCTCGTCTATGCAGTCTGCCACGTTGCAGCTCCATGTTTCTACAATAGCCCAGAATGAACAAACCAAAAGCTAGCTCTAGATAGGGCCATTTGCATTTTTGTATTTTCTCATCATCCACCAAAGTTAGCAGCCCCTCTGTGACGAGCAATGTCTGAGAAACATTGATTATTTAATGTGAAATTGCTTTACTTTGTGTTTTCAGCTGGTCTGTTTGTTTTGGAGGTGGAGACCTCTGTGAATAATTTGACGCCCATCAAAAAACCTCATGAACAATGAACACTGAAGGAATCCTCACCATGAGAAGTTTCAGCTGGTAGAAATCTGAAAACCTCACTGCTAGATGCCACTAATACCCCTAAATCTTACACACTGCTCCTTTAAAGGTCCAGTGTGTAGGACTTAGTGGCATCTAACAGTGAGGTTGTAGATCGTGTGTAGGAGAGCTACGGAGGCCAGTGTGAAAGGTCCTATCTGAAGCCAGTGTTTGATTTGTTTGATCTGTTCTGGGCAACTGTAGAACCGACAATGCTGACTCCATTTAGGACGAGCCGCACGTTGTTTAGATATAAATAATGATTCTTCATTCTAAGGTAACAAAAACACAATTTGTATTTTATACTCTATGAAACATGGTTATGAAAAAAAAATTGTTCGACTTTTTTGGGGGGCATTTTGTAATTTCCAGTTAAACATTTCACCTCTATAGTTTTACTCTTCTTCAAGTCAGTATTTTTGATCTGTGTTTTTCTCTTCATCTGCAGTCACACAGTAGCATTCTGCTGCACCAGCTAAAAAAAAAAAGTAGATTTATTTTTTACACTTTATCCAAAGCTTCTTGTCTCTGTTCAGTGTTTGCTGCCATCGTATCTTCACAGCATTGTTCTGTTCTCTCTCAGACCATCAGAGATAATGTTCCACCTACTACACGCACCTCCAGGGAAACCTTCAGGTCCACTCCACTCTTCTGGTTTAGCTCATTAAACCCTGTCTCGCCAAATGAACCGTGAATCCACAGCTCAGCTTGATCAACTTGAAATTTGTGCTGATCAGGCCACGTCATGGACAGTATTGCTGTGATGGGGACTGTCAGTGGCATTCGGGGATTTTACATTTTGCAGCATCATGCCTCCTTATTCTTAGAGGTTAAACTTCTACTTTTGCAGCACCAATAAGGGAGAGAACAGAGCAATAGTTTGCAATAGAATCCAAAAAACAGAAGGTCTGAGGTACTTCATTATTGAACATGTATAAAAATGAACACCATATTTATTTTTAGGATTTTTAAGAAGATAATTAGAATTTATTACCATTTATATTTTTCAAGCTTGTTGTTGGCATGGCTGTTTTGAATTGCTTCGAATTATTTTAGAGCTTAAAATATACCAATGATAATAAAGGTTGTATTAGTTTTGGATGCTAGTTTTGATTATCTTTTAATTGCAGTAAATTAAAAAAGGAGAATTTGTCAGACAAGTGTCCCTGTGGTCAAAAGTGGCCCAGTGTCTTGCTCATGGGCACTTGATTGAAATTCTAATCCAGTTGCTGGAATCAGTGTTCACATTGTATGTTTCTGTAACCACGGATATGTTACATTTGTGATTTCATATGTAGCAGATATGCTGAAACTTTACATTTCTTTACTTTTCATTTTATGTTACAGTATTTTGGTTAACATTTAGTTTATTTTAGACATAAAAACTATTTTGTTAGGGTAATAAAAACATCACGTTTTGGCTTTAACTATCATTAAAAAACACCCACCTTTTGTAGCTGCAACCACCGCTGGACACATCACAAACTTGTTAAAGAACAGCTACTTTTGTCATTACAAACATGGCTGAAAATGTGCCATCCTGTTGTTAAAAAAACACATTTTTTTTGCTATAAACACCACTGGAAATAACCTGAATTGTCATTAAAAACACCTGCTTTTGTTACCACAAACAAAGCTGGAAAAAACACCTGCTTTCGTGGCTACAAATGCCAGTGGACATGTCCCAAATGCTAGTTAAAATACAGCAGCTTTTGTTGCAACAAACATGGTTGAAAATGTCCCAACCTGTCATTAAAAAAAACACCTGTTTTTGTTGCAACAAACACAGCTGAAAACATGTCTAACTGTCATTAAAAACACCTGCTTTTGTTGCTACAAACATAGCTGGACATGTTCCGAACTGTGAAAAATACCTGCTTTTGTTGTAAAGAACGGTTGTCTGCTGCTGTCTGCTGCTTGGTAGTGGTCTCGCCCGCCTAGGTGTCATGCCATTCGCCATCCCCTCCTCCCCCTTATGAGAAACTCGGCTCATATATATGTAATGTGAACCACGTCATACGTAGGCCTACAAAACATACAAATGTTTCATGTCCCTGATTTGCAGAGATGTATAATGCCAACATTTTATTCTGGCTAATGGGCCATGAATTTCCCCACTGAGTGATTAATAAAGTGCCTTTGTAGCCTATTTCTTTTCTGTCTTCAGCAGGTTATACCTAGTAACAGGGGCTCATACTCAGGGCCTACTGAATTGTAGTTGATCTCTTTATTTATGACACGATGCTGCCCTCTACTGGTCTGGAGAATGATGTGCATTTGATACTGAAACAGGCTTTAAAAATAAAACCAGGCTGTTTGCTGGTTTGCAAGAGTGTTTGGAGATGTGAGATCCTCTGTGTCACTGCAGAGACATTTTCAATAACATTTTGACATTTTAAAGGCCTCCCAGAAAATAAAAGCAGAAAGACTTTGCTGAATGGGGAACTAACACAGAGACAAAACAAAGACACAACACAGAGAAAACTAATGCACTTGCTTTCACAAGGTTGCCATCTAGTGTTTCACACCCAACATAACAACACTGCTTCTTGTGACACAGGAAGCTTTTACCCAGAATAACTTTTTCAGCAGTCATTCAGTCATTGTTTGAAATGAGAACTTTTATTATCTTCAGTAATAAAATCATCTTCAGCTGTAGGAAAATGTAAAAATATCTTCATTACGGAGCATATTCACATTTTTAACAATCCAAAGTAAATACATAATATCATGAACAACAACTGTGCCATCTGTAAACAAGCGGGGTGGACAGAATGAAACATATCTTGACTTGTGATTGTATTGTATATGCACTATCCATCTTTATAGTATTCAGTATATCACAGAGTTATCATCAGAATTAGCAGGTTTATGGACTAAAGTGAGAAACAAGTTTGAAGCATATAAGCTCAGCAAGCATGAAGCGATAGAAATTGGGAGAGAGTTAGGACAGAACAAAAGGTACAAAAACAAAGTAGCTTTGCACGAGTGTCCTCTTATGTAATCTGTGCATGTTCATTTAATCTGTACTTTCTATAAATGTATCATCTTCGTACAAGTTCTCCAGCTCTCCCTCTCTGCTCCCCTCGTTGCTGATTTTCCTGTGGGGCAACAAACGCTCAGTCATGTTGTTGAAGGTGCTAAGTGAGATGGCAGATGAGGAGGAGGAGGGGGAGGGGGAGAAGGGTAACACTAGACTAAAACTGTCATTGAGAACATGTCCGCCACAGCTCAGCTCATCACTTCTTATCCACACCAAGAGGACTCAAGAGAGACAACACAAAGCAGCCAACAACAACCTTGTGTGAGTATTTATTTTAGGTACAGCTCGTTGTTGAGAGCCTTGTCTCCCTTAAATCCTCTTAAAGGTTGAACAAACAACAGATGAGCTGTACCGTGTATGAGGCGTATGAGCTCAAGCTTTTAGAAAATTTACCTCAAGGAAGGATGAAGCTGAGGCGATGACCCCAATAAGCCCCAAGAGCCACTGCAAGAAGGAGATGTAATGTAAGAGGCCAGAATTTATACTGTTAGTTTGCATGTCAGGTGTTACTGTAGCAGGAGTTAAAAGGCATAATGAGACATTTTGGAAATTCTTTGTCTTTCAGCACAGAGTTAGATGAGAAGATTGATACCAATGTCATGTCTGTACATTAAATATGATGCTACAGCTGATTAGCTTAGCTTAGCATAAAGACTGTAAACAAGGGAAACAGCTATAGGTTCACTCCAAGTTACAATATCTACTTGCTCCTTTTAAGCTCACTCAACACTTTTATCTCGTTTGTCTGATACGAACAAAAAGTGTAGAAACAATCTTTTTCTTTTTTCTTTTGGGCAGTGAGGGTGGGGGTTAAGTGCCGAACAACTATTCAAAATGTTTTAAATTTTGGACAAGATTAATTAAATGAAATATAGCATGTTATTTCAAATCACTGTCCCAACAACGTCAAATACCCAACATGTCAAACTACAACGCTCTATTACCCCTCCGGCCCAGTTTTGGACGCTCAGGGATGGTGCGTCAATTTACACTTGTTACATGCACTGTGTCCTTTCAAAATAAACTTCTATTTTCAAAGTAAATATACAGTTTATGCCTGTTAAATGCATTCCCACACATACATTTAGAACGTAGGTTAAAAAAAGTAACGTCACATCACATACATCACATGTCATACATCACTAGCATAGTATGCTACACATACCAGCACACTACATTATTATTAAAATAACTCCATTAACTTTTGGTTTTACATGGGACAAGAACAGTGGTCTCCTGGGTGAAAGTGCGCCGCTTGTTTGACCCACCCACCTCCTGCCTGCCCTATGTGGACTTTTTTGCTTTTAATATTACAGTTGTTGCTCAAAGCATTAAGAAATGAAAGTGCCTTGTGTATTTCATACTGCCACTAAATGCGTCAGTATTTCACAAAATATCTTTGTCCACACAAGAATGTAAAAATGACTCCAAACACTCGCCAGTGACGGGCGCTGTTGCTGTCTTCAGCAGTTTCCCCTCATCACAAAGGCAGTAAGATGCACAGGCTAATGTTACCTCTTACAAAACACCAACTACAGATATCATCACCGTTGATTTCTGTTTGATATAGGGATGAAAGAGCTCACTCAAAAATACCAGTGATGATATGGGCATGCTAAATTTTTCGCATAAGACAGCTCAATTTGTCTGTGAAGTGGTGCACCAATACGAAGTTTAAGTGTAAATTAGTCATTAGACCAAGCAGTGCTAATAAAACATTAGCACACGGATAGTCCGCCATTGTTGTTGTTGTTTCTAGCATATGCTCGTTACACAAAGCGATGATGGGCTGATAAATGAGTCTTGATAAATCTTCATTTAAGAAGACGTTTTGAAAAATCTTAGTTTTAGTGACCTAAAACTCTGTTTGCCTGTGGACCAGAGGCCCAAACGTAGAGGAAAATATCCATTTACGAGAACAGAAACCAGGCTAGCTGTTTACCCTTGTTTCCAGTCTTTGTGCTAAGCTAAGCTAAGCTAAGCTAAATGGCTGCTGACTGTAGTTTCCTAGGAGAACAGATATGACAATGGTATCAATCTCCTCATCTGTCTCTCAGTTAAAGTGAGAAAAAGTAAGTTTCGTCATGTAAGTTTCAGCATTCGAAATTTTTTAACAATATGAGGAAGCCTCCATCAGGATTTTTTATTATAGGGCCCCTATATGGATGGTGATGGAGGCCTAAAGTGTTCAACATTAAGTACATATGTATGATATGAAAAAATAATTATGTGAATAAATAGACAAAAGACAGAAAAGTGTTATATTACAATACATCATCCCTCCAAGAAGATCAAACACTTTGACCTTCTTCTTTAAGCCAGCTGTTGAGCCAAACTATGCATTTCAGATACTGATCTTGAGTTATAGTGTCTCCTTTATTATTCAGCCACTTTCTGACCATCACACTGCTGCTGTTTGAGATTTACATATCACATGATCTCCACAGATTTCACATGTGTGGGAGACTGCAGCGGTCCTGGTGGTGATGCCTGGATAAGTGTGGAGGAGGATGTAGCTGCAGCTCCACATCTCTTCACATGGAGGTGTAATTAGCTGCGCCAGCGGCCCCCCCCCCCACAGACAGGACTGGCTTGTTAATGGCAAACAAAAGCAGTGCAGCCATTACTGCTGTCACAGGGGGCTTCCATTTAGCTTATCAGGAGAGGACAAATGCTTTTATCTGAGTGTGCTGCTAATTTCAGGATGAAAACAAAATCAAGACAGTGTAAGAGCTAGTCAGAATTCAAAGACTGATATTCCAGGTATGATGGTAGATCTAATATATTCAATATGTGCGAGACACGCTACACATATAAAGGATGTAACTGACTGATCTATTTTTATCCAAGCATCTGCTCGCTGCTTTGTTTTGTTAGAGGCCTAATCGCAGAGCTGGCAGTTTGGCAGAGCAGAGCAGGCAGGATTTGCAGAGTAGGCCACTTACGTAAGAAGACCTCCGGGGGCAGACATGGACCTCTCTGCACGTCTGCCCTGACACTCAAAGGGATTACCAAAAGACCGCTTCCTCAGCATAGACTTCACCAGAATCTGCAGTGGACATCACAGAGAGTATCAGTGAAATCTGCATAACACTTTCACACCTCCAGTAAAGTTTCCACACCAAAATATACATTTTACATGTCAGATTTGTGTTTTTTTTAACATGAGATTTAATTAATTTCACTTTGTGGTGAACTGTAAAACACTCTTCATAGTTTTTAATACTTTAACACTATCACATATTGTTTAGTAATCTCCCTTTCACCTGTACTGTCATATGAAAATTGCAATTTTACAACTTTAAAGGCAACTTAATCAACTAAATATCTTTCTGTGTCCCTGTGTCTGTTATTGTCTACATCTTGAGATTTGAGAGAGTTTTGTAAATATAAATGGACAAGATCTGATATAAATCAAATGCAGTGCCTCTTATGTCTTCAAGAGATAAAATATTTTAAGAAAAGGCCTTCAGGAAATCAGCTGAAATATTGTTAGTATTGCAACTGAGATATATTAATTAAAATACTCGACCCAGCAGTCAGTTCCAGTCATTAAAGTGTTAAATAGTGACCAGTGAGTGTGCAACTCACCACAGTCGAAAGGCTGGGTATGAGTTTAATGCTGTTCTGCACCTCCTCCTCAGTGACCTCCACCGCTGTGCAGTGCTCCTCCTCCAGAGGAAGAGGATTGGAGCCGTTCTCTGTCACCCACGCATGAAGCTGTAACAACATAACACTGTCACAATGAAAAAATAACACACATTGACAATAAACACATGGACCTTGATATAATATTAATCAGAGTTGGGATTTTTTTTTATTTCTGGTCACCTTAATTTCAGGGATGGTGATTCTTGTTTCGGGGTTTTTATCCAGCATTCTTTCAATTAGGTCCTTCAGTTCATTACTTATGGATGGTCTGTGGAAAACAACAGTTTATGTTTTTGACAGTAGTTCCTGTTACAAAGCCTGATTGAGGGGAAGTAAAAAAAAAATAAAATCAAAGGAGTAAACAAAGTGGTGTGGAGTGTCCCTGCTGGCTGAGAGAGAGTATGAAGGAGGTGGGGGGAGGGCCTTTTGTTGGTGGGTCAGGTGTCACTGATTGGATAGGAAGGGTTAGTTGATTCAGAGCTTCCTGAAACAAAGTTGGGAATCCAGGGCTGTGCACTGTATTGCTATGTTTTCCGGGTTGAATGACATGTTTCCCAGAAACAGTGTTCGAGGTACATTTTCTCACTTGTGTCAGAGGTGTTATCCAATCAGCATCAATGTGTGTTTGAAAACCCCCCTTTTAAGGAGGCAATGTGCTTGCATTACACAATGACGCGCTAATGTTTATATTCAAATAAGCATTTTCCTATGTTTGTAGGGGATGTACGCTTTGAAATAGACATATGGATCAGAGGCAATGGAAAAAAAAGTAAAAAAAAAAAAAATCCAATCCCCATGACTCATGTGGGGCTCCGTAGAAACAGACATATGGCTCGAAAGGAATGGAAGAAGACAACTAATGCAAGGTAACACCAAATCTATTGCAAGAGAATGTAAAACTTATTTCAAGGTAAAACACACGCCAAAAAATTCTTGACTCTTGGGGGGCTTTGTAGAAATAGGCTTACAGCAAAACAGAACATATTGTAAGGGAACACATACACAAAATAAAAAATCTCCCTGTGACTCTTGAAAGTAGAAATATGGATGGAAATAGAAGAATGGAAGAAAATAAGCAAGGGAATGCAAAATATTGCTATGTAATGCCTTGTAAGGGACAACACACACTAAAAGATTGCATGTGTCCCTTGAGGGGCTCCATAGAAACAGACATATGGCTCACAAGAAATGCAAGAAGGACAGTATTGTGAGGTTGCACACAAAAGAGAACAAAAGAGGTTGCAAGAGAACTCAAAATATTTTGCTAAAGAGTGCAAAAAGAGGTCATGCAAAATATTACGAGAAAAAGCATATTTTAAGAGAACACAAAATATTCTCCTGACACATGGCCAAGACAAACAAAGTGGAAAGAAGAGCTGAATAGCTGAATTGTTAAGGTTGTTACACTGGATATCATCGTAGGATGTAAAACTGAAATACAAAATCAGTGGTTAGAGAAAAGAATCTGCTGTTTTTATCACTATTACCTGCGAAAATCACATTTTCTCTCCAACTAGAAAGATAGTTTTCAGTAATGAATATTGTAATATTCAAATCTACTGTAACATCTTTACAAGGTGACATTATAATTGTTTTTTTTTAATCAAAAGCAAAGTCACCTACTGCCACGTGAGCCGACAATTTTAACCACAGCTAGTATTATGTTGCAGCTACATTGCGTATCCTATCACAAGAAAGAAAGCTATTCTGGTATCTACATGTTTTGAATGTTCGCTTACATCTCTGGAAACTCCACAGGTTTGTTCTTGATCTTGTTGTGCAGAGAGACGATATATTCGTCATAAAAAGGACACTGCAGGACAAACATATTGAAATGACTGAAATGTTGAAATGAAATATTGGACTGGCTGAGTTATTTTACATGCTACGAGTCTTCTTACCTTCCCAAAGACAAAACAGTAGAGTGTGACTCCCATCGCCCACACGTCTAATGCCTGGTAAACAAACACAGTAATTACCAGGGCTGTGTCATTACTGAAAGCTCTCAGTAGGCGGTTGGACATAATTTCTTCATAATTTCTCACAATTAAACACAGTCTGATATGATGAGTCACATCCAAAGCATGTGTGATTCTGTGACTCACACTGTCTGTTTTCCGTTGGGCTAACAGAAGAAGTTTTGTCTCACCTTCCCGCTGAAGCTCTGCTCGTGTTCTGTCATCATCTCAGGGGCCATGAAGGCCGGCGTCCCCGCTGTGGTCGACAGGAGGGCGTCCGACCCCTCAAACTCGTTGCTCACACCAAAGTCTGCGATCTTGACGTGACCGTCGTCCCCCAGCAGCAGGTTGGAGGGTTTGATGTCCCTGTGGATGATCTTGTGGTAGTGCACTATGAGAGACAATGAAGAGAACATATTGATTGTCTGTTGATCAGCTAAGAAATAGTTCCACTCTACTGAAGTGAAGGCAGACATCTCTACGGCTGATATCTCCAACACTCTGCAACTCACATCAAAACGATCTAGACTGAAAAACAAGACTACAGGTAAGAGGAAAAATATGTATTTTTGATTTTTGGGGTGAACTGTGGCTTTAAGGCGCCAGAGCTGGAAATCTTCTAAATCTACTCATAGTAGCTTTAACTCCCATATACACAAAAAAGCCAAGGTTACAAGTTCATCAGGCTGTCTATTAAATATTCATTAAATCATATCTGTAAACTTACAGTACTCTATTCCCAAGACGACGTCTATGAAGTAAAAGCGAGCCTGCTCCTCTGTGAAAGGGTCGTCTGTAGGCACCTCCATCACCGGGCTGACCCGCATGAGAGGGGGAGGGAAGAAAATTTCTACTTTACAAAACAATTTAAACAATTCAACTTTAATGCTACAAAATGCATACATTTCCCAAAACATACCCTTTTGTCATCAATTCGAAAGCTTGAGGACAAAGAATCAGAATTTAATGACTCCCCTGGTTTATAATGACACACAGTGTAACACAGACATTGACACAGATGAATGAATGCTTACCCATGTGAAGTCCATCTTCATCAGGATCATCAAGCACCTGCAAGACAGGTTACATTTACCGCTCTCATATTCTATTTTACATAAATATATGAAGTCATGTTACTATATACATCCACACAGGTGATGTCACTTATTTTGGCTAATTAGTGTTTTGTCATGACTTTGTGGGACAATTTAACCCTTTATCTTTCTTATTAGTATAGTCCAGAGTAAACATGTCATTTCCAGGGTAGCTTCACCACCATCAACCAGAGCTGAGGCCTAATCAGCAAACAATAATGATAAAGAACACTGATAAGCGTGTGTAAGAGCTTTAAATAATCCTTTCATGTCTCTTCTGTGGAATTGTTTTGCTTTTGTTACATGCAACAAGTGTATGAGTAATATTTAGAGGAACAATTACAATCAAAAACTGCTTTCATGGGACCCTGTAGTCAGTTTTCGTCAGGATATCATTTAAAGGTCCCATATTCTGATAAGGCTTATACTTATATATGGGGTTTCTTCTAGAACATGTTTACATGCTTTAATGCTCAAAAAGCACTTTATTTCTCTCATACCGTCTGTCTGAATAAACCTGTGTATACCCTATGTCTGAAACGCTCCATTTTAGCGCCTGTCTCTTTAAGCCCCACTACCTAAAAAGCCCAGTCTGCTCTGATTGGTCAATGTTTCCGGGTCTTCCACATCTGTGCTCTCTATGTCTCTGTACCATCATTGCAGCTGGGGACTGACTGTAACGGCTCAGTTGTGGCAGTTTCTACCTTTATAAAGTATCATTGTGACATGACAACATTATGGAGGTCCTGATGGCTCATTCAAAGGCACAGTTTCTGACTACAGACTGTGTGTTTTTCTCTGTGGATTGAGCATTTTGATACTTTCAAAGTCTCTATGTACCAACTGTACCTTCTTCATGATAAACAAAGACTTGAATATCTGACTTTTTACAACATGGTACCTTCAAGGTAAACATGCTAAATAAAGACATTCTAAGATTGATGGATATATATGTACAGCAGGTGAGGACTTCTGACTGACCTCCACTAGTTTTACAACATTATGATGGTGCAGTTTCTTCAGGATGGCGATCTCCTTGTACACTTTTTCCAGAGGAAACACAGAGTTTGATCCTTGAGGAGACACGCGGCCTGAAATTACACACAAAAACACATCAATACCAACACCTCAGGAAAACTCATTCGACATTTAAGTTTCATTATTAGACTCACGCAAAAATCCACACTGCCTCATCAGTCTCTTCTTTGACACAACTTTCATTGCCTGCATGAATTTGATAAGGTAAATGATGATGATGACGACGATGACAAACTGACATGTAAACACAATAAATGCACAATTTATTAGCTTCAACTTACGTAGTACTGCTCAGAATCTTCATTATAAGCTAATTTTACCACTCCGTATGAACCCTGAGGTGTAAAAATAACAAAGGTAAACAGCTTTATACGTCATTTGTCATCACTTGTGTTTGCTCATTGTGCAACAGTCATTCACCTTTCCAATCTCTTTCTTCAACTTATACTGGTTGAGCTGGACACAATCCTGCAGAAAATGAAAGGAGAATTCATTCAGTAAATAATCTCATAAATAATATGTTGAATTAGACAAAAATCCACCTCTGGGTGTCATATCTGTAGTTAGGGTCTCCTCACATCAGCATCCGTGATGGACACACGTTTGGTCTCGATGGTGGGCTGTCGGGCCATGCGGCTCCCCCTCTCCTGCAGTGACAGCTTCCTGTCTGAGAGTTTCATGGCCCTCGGATTACTGGACCTGTAGCCGTTAGGCGGGGTTATGCGGTTGGCGGCCACGTTAATGGCTGCCACCAAGTCGGCCAGCTCGCCAGTGTGCTCAGAGTCTGTGTCCGACCTGAAAACAGTGTCGGCACTCATGGTCGTTAATCCTTGTTCACTCACAGCTGAACGTCCCAGAGGTGGTGTGGTGAGAATGCATCACTGCACTGAGAGGAGCGGAAACAGAAATGGAGAAACGTGATCACACACTGTCGAGTAGAGGACCGTCCAGTCGGGTTTACAGAGGTGTGAAACTTGGTAGACTAAGCTGACATTCTTTTTGTCAAAGTTATGTTTTTTGTTATGTAGTAACTCTTCCTTATTACTGTGCGTAAGTGCTTCTTGCAGACGGCAAAGTCTCACACCTGAGAGTCACCTATCAAACATCAAACTTTGCAAGAAACCAAAATATTTTTTCCAGCAGATGTCTTAGTTACAACATGATTGAGCTAACTGGAGTAGTTTCATGTCGTATCAGACAACGGGAGGCTTTTAACAGATGACGTCCTGATGTTAGCTTTGCTGCTGCTGTTAGCTGTCCCTGTCAGCTGCAGCCACTGATGCTTTCTAGACATCGTGATTCCCCAAAACTGAATAAATACCACACATAGCAACACAAAACTGCTTTGCTAGCTCAATCATGTTGTAACTAAGATATCCGCTGGAAAAGATATTTTTTTCACAGACTGTTTATTGAGTTATTACCTATTACAGACACCGCTAACGGCTAACAGGGCTAACAGCTAACGGTTAGCACTGCTAAAAGTGCACACAGAAATAGTAACGTTTGTTCAATCATTGTGTTTATAGACTTTACAAACATCAGATTAGTCTAAACGGGGATATAGTGACGTGAAAAATGGGATATATATATATGTATATATATAGAAATATATATACATATATATATATATATATATATATATACATACATATATATATATATATATATATAGAGCTAAACTCTGCTGGTTTTCTACCCGGAAGTATTTGTAAACAACAAGGCGATTCCCTCTATAGTGGGGCCTTTAGAAAAAATGAGAAACCCTGCCATTTCAAAGAATGGAGGTCTATTTTCGGGAAGGCGGGCTGTAACCCTGCCTAGTAGTACACCCACCTCATCAACTACCACTACACCACTGCCTGTCAACACATTTCCGGCTCCTGCCTGTCCACCACATCCACATCATCAAGGCAACTCAGTTCACATGTTCCTGATTACACACAGCCAGTATATATACCCCAGCCTAGCAACTGGAGGCTAGCTGCTACTAGCATAACAAACCAATTAATTTTTAAAAAGTTGGCAGTGTTGATTTATGCAAAGCACAGATATATTGTACATTTGTATGTAGCGAATATGTTAAAACTAAATGTTTTAACAACGCTGTGGTTAACATGTGGTTTAAGTTTAAGCGCAAAAAACACTTGCTTATGGTTAGGAAAAACAATGTTTTGGCTTAAAATACCCGCTTTGGGGGGCCACAATCCCAGTGGGAAAAACAGCAATGTCTTAGTAAAAAAGCAACTGCTTTTAATGCCTTAAAAACAGCTGGAAAAACAGTGACAGGTCGTACAAAACACCCACACCCTAAAAGCTGCTGGAAATACAGCAACGACACCTTTAATCACAACCGGTTTTGTTGTCTGTTGGTCTTGAACAGTCGTCTGAAGTGGTCTGCAACTTAGTGGGCATCATGCCTAGGTGTCACGCTATTTACCATGCCGTCCAACTCCAGATGACAAAGTCACTTCAGGGATTACATCACTCTATAAACACTGATATGATATGTATGAAACTTAGAAATGTGACATATTCATGGTCTGCAGAAATGATGCCAACATTTTCTTCTGGTGACTTCACTGAGCATAACACAACTCAATATCCACTGAAGTGTTGCATTGCATTTTGGGTAATGTAGGCACCAAGTTTTGACAAGGAGGAATAATAAACAAACAAACAAACAAACAAACAAACAAACAAACAAAAAAACAATTATATCTATGGTTCTGCTGCATGATTTTGGTCATCTTTTAAAACTGCCCATTGTAAGTCTGATAATGCTAAACCTGATGGAGTATGCCTTTAAGAAAGTAGTTCGCAGTATTGAAAAGTATCAACACTTTTTTTTTCTTTGTTAATGGGCCACAAGATGCAAATCAACAAGCTGTATAGTCCTTAAAAGTTCCCCTGTACCCACGCAGGTGTTTTCAATTACTTTGCCTTATTAAACCTTTTCCCCTGGTGCAGCATCAAAATTGACAGGCAAGTGAGGGAAATGTTAATCAAGCAGTGTACACACACACATACACACACATTTCTGACAACAGGTCTAATCAGGCAACACAAGTGAAGACACCTGAGTAGGGGCTTTGACCTTTTGAACTACCAAACCTCAGAAATACAGTCGATACATTGTTTTACCGCTTCAAATGTATGTGATAATCTTGTCTTATTTACCAGCAACACATAGTAGACATCCAAAGAACTCCTTATATTCTAAACTGTAACAGTTCTGTTTGTGATGGTTTGTAAACTGAATATGTCACTCTTTGTGTGATATTTGGCTACAGCAAACATCAGTGACTTATGTTTATTATGTAAGAAGTCACTTGTGTTGTTTACAGCTGTTAAAAAGTTTGAAAACTATTTGTTCCTTTCGTCCAGTGTTTTAACAGAGCCTCAGATAGGACTCACAGGTACAATTAGATGTAAAAACACAGAAAATGAGAAGTATCACTTTCTGAGAAAAGTCTAGAAGCAGATAAGAACCACTGTTACCTAAATTACAGCACAGAGAACTGAAAAGCTTCTTATGTAACAGGGTAGAAAGCTTTAACAGGCAGGTAAATTCATTATACAAACACAATACACAAGATTGTGACATTGGTATATACATGTTAAAATAAAACTAAATGTCATAAAAACAGGCAAAGATATAAAACTTGTTAATTAAAAATGATAAACAAGAGCTGTTAGTATGCAGCGGAAACCTTAAGCTCATCTGAATCTTCATTAACATAATGCACTGATAAAATACTGCATAATATAAAATATAAGGAGAATTATTCACCATACTCACACAGTGGAGGTGTCCTGTGTTGGTGGCCGCGGGGGTTAATCTGCATGTTGCTCTCAGGAGGGGAAACTCCTCTGTGTCTCAGTGCAAGACTTTCACTGACAGGGAACAACGGCCGTCTTTAAGGATTAACTGAGGCCGCATATAGCTGAGGCAGAGCTATTCTGAGGCACACACCCACCCACACACACACTTTCACACAAACACAGGACAAGGCTGGACATCAGGAGATACACAAGACCAGAGGGTAACCCTGTAGTGATACATCAATAACACATTAACTTACGCTCAACATTGAAAAATGCAACTTTTTTGATAAAATACACATACCAATATTGATATTTATTTCCTTTTGATTGAATAACTATACTGTATTTCACATATTCTAATATAAACATGAATTTAGAAAATAAAAAATAAACACTTCTTACAATAATAATAATAAAAACAGTTGGTATACACTCTGTATTATTCATAGCCTATAATATTAAATATTTTACAATGCATTGCAGACATTTTTACCCAGCTATTTTAAAACAGACAGCATGTGTCTGTTTTAATCTCATCTCTTGATTCCAGTTTTGCATGTAACTAAACTGGAAAAACATAAACTACAGTGACATTTTAAAGGTTAATAAACATTAAAGTGATTAGGACTGACAGACTTTACCTGGGAAAAAAATGAAATTAAATTAAAAGAAAGAATAAATCAAGCCTATCTTTTCCCACCATACCTGCTTTGTTCTCATTTTAAACAATACTTTTTAAAAGCTTTTAAAAAAATTCCACTCTATTATAATTTATTGCTATGTTGTTTACATGGCTGTAACAGACACTATGGACACCAGGACAATCCTGCCATTAAATGAGGCTTTCACTGTACCTGGGAATTCCGCCAATCTACATAATCTTCACGTGAAGCCTATTGAATCATAAAGAAAAACGTGACAAAACCAAACCGTGCAAAGGATAAATCATATCAGACAATGGCATTGTGATGACATTAATCGATATTAGTAATTAAAAAGTCAACATAAACTTAATGGGTAATAATTTATCAACACAACTGCAGAATATTGTCGAAATTCACTCCCCTCTTTCTCAAACTCAGACCAAACTCATATAAAATGGTAAAACTAGGCAGTGTTAATCAAATATAAACCAAAATCATGTTACTGTATAACCAATTTCTCACATAAAGTATTTTAAAAACATATTTAATGCATGGTTTGGCTGTAATAGGAGAATTTTCTCTAGTTATATAGTTTCCAACAGTCAGTGAACGCAGCATTGCCCAATAGCGCCCCAGCAGGACGCACGAGGAGCAAACAGGTACCAAAGTTTGATGAAGCAAAGAGCATCCAGTGTGGAGGAGTCATCATGTCTCTGTCGGGGCATTTTGGTGCTCTGAGGACCGGAGAGCTGCGAGAGCTGCTGGAGGATGAAGACAAAATAAAGCACATCATCAGGTGCAGTGAGAAGGTGAGGGTCTGACAGGGGGACAGAAAAAAAAGTCAGAGAGTTCAGGCTGACACAAATACACAAGTGGTTTAGATTGCATACAAAAACAATTTTGCATTATGTAGATTATAAAATTCATTTGTCATTATTCCAGCAAACAAAACTCTCTGGAGTCACTGTTTTCTGAACTATTTGTGGTGATGTCCAGTTTCAGGGGCTGCAAAGGGCTGCAGAGAAGATGCTGGTTTCAAATCAAAAACTGGCTAAAGTCTGTCTCTCTCAAAAACCTAAATTCAGAGATACTAAACTGATACTTGCAATGAAGTACAAGGAACTGGAAGAACTTCAAAGCTTGGTCCAGGTCAAACAAGAACAACTTGGTGAGTCTTTAATACATTCTCTATTTATGATTTTTTTTTAAATCTGGATGCCTTGAATTCATTGCTTTTACCTGCATTTCCTTCATTTGTTTTGTAGCAGAAAAATACAGTGTTCACTCTGCTCAGTGGAGTCTCTTGGAAAAGATAAAACATGCAGAGGAGGAGTGTGAGGTAAGTTCATGGCAGGTTAATTTGCATAGGTGTACAAGTCTGTAATGTACTTTTATTTAAATGAAGGAGTGTTAAACTAGAGCTCATATTCAATACACAGTAGATAAAGAGGTGCTTAACAAATGAACAAGAGGACTACTTTATTGTTATACATTTAAAAGCTCTGCAGCAAATAACAAGAGTAGCCTGGCTGTGATCACGAGAGAGCCTTCTGCAAATAAACTTTACATAATGATGAGTGTGTATGATTAATGTGAGACCAAAGTTCATCACCCATTCTCAGTACAAAGACTGTATATGTATATACATATAGTCTTACACCCTCTGGAACGCAGTAACACCACCGCCCCTCTCACAGAAAGTGCCTGGAGGACAAGGCTGCATTGAAAACAGGACAATTTACAGAAATGTCAGACCTGTGGGAGAAACAGCTGTTTGACCAGAGACATAAGCAGACAAATAATACATGTCAGCCTAGTTTGTTCAAACTTAAGAAAGCCAGTATTTCAAGCTGTTGTATAGAAGCAAAGCAGAGGTCTTATCGGTGTAACCAAATACCCACAGTGTGTATGAACATGATATTTCTCCCCACAGATGATGTTTCAGAGATTTGTGGAGGGTAAAACGCCACTGGCAGAATTCCTGGATTCCTTTCTCAGCTCGCAGAAACTCCAGCACATCAGGATGGTCCTGGTGAAGAAACTCCAGGAGGTTAGGCTCGGTGAGATCCACCCTGACACTCAGCGTGTCTCAGCAGAAGAGATCCAGGACGCCTGCCTCCCCGTCTGCAGTCTGACCTCAGCTGTGGTCCTACCTGCCTGCTGCCACCCTCCATTCCTGCTGCCCTATGGTACCCACGTTAACACTGCTCACTGTCTACAGCATACACCCTTTTGTCATGATTACAGTCATGATTGCGATGAGTCCCTACGTCCAGGGGTGCACAGACGAGGCTCCAAATGGCCAGCGAGACCGGTCCGTCTTCAGCCTCTGAAGGTGCCGCAGAGGAAGCATCAACATGCACCACAATAAAGACACACCCAGAGTTTGCATTTCATTAAAGTTAACACAGCTACTGGGTAAAGTTTCCTTAGCATCACACATTGGATTTAGTCTTTATTTATTTATTTATTGATACTATATTTTCTGATTCAAGTGGCAACTTACTAATATTTGAGTATTTTATTTGGGCAAAGTTATTGAAGGATTGTTTGTGTCAGATGTCCAGTGTGTAGGATTTAGCAGGATATATTGGTAGAAATGTAACCTAACATATTTAGTATGTTTTCCTCAGTTTATTATCACCTAAAAATAAGACTTGTGTTTTCGTTACCTTAGAATGAGCCGTTTATATCTACAAAGGGAGCGTCCATGGAGTTCGCCATGTTTCTACAGTAGCCCAGAACGGACAAACCAAACACTGACTCTAGATAGGGCCATTCGTGTTTTCCTGTCGGCCACTGTTATTAGCAGCCCTATTGAGTTAAGAGTGCTGGAAAAACACTGATTTTGTGCCTTATTCAGTGTTTTTACCAATTTAAATCACCAGGTGTGATGAAGAGACCTCTGTGGATAATTCGGCTCCCAGTAAAAACCTCCTGAACAATAAACACAGAGGGAGATTTAACCAGATGTTTCAGCTGTTTGCAATATGCAGTCCTCACTACTAAATCTTGCACACTGTACCTTTAAGACAAAATTATTAAAAACTGATGGACAGAGAAGTTTGGTGTATTTCTTATTTTGTATTGTATTGGCAGTGGTATCCAAAAAGCGCTAGTTATTGACAGAGACATGGATAGATTAAGTATAGATTTAGATCACTAATTTTTCTACCTGACATATTGCATTATACAGAGTCTTTTTTTAAGATATTTTTTGGGGCTTTTTAGCCTTTAATTGACAGGACAGACAAGTGTGAAGGGGGGAGAGAGAGAGGGAGTGACATGCAGCAAGGGGCCACAGGCTGGGGTTGAACCCTGGCCGCTGTGGCAGCAGCCTTGTACTTGGGGCGCCTGCTCTACCACTAACCCACCGACGCCCCACATTATACAGAGTTAAGACAATGTTCGACACATCAGACAGCAGCTTCTATTTTTGGACTGGCCTAAGTTCTTATAAAGTTTGGTTTATTTGATTTATAAGAGGACAGTGTGCAATGACATTAATCATTTACAAGAATTGAAAACATGGTTGCACCAGATTTAGCGAAATGCTTATTTCCATCTGTAGTCCTAAGTAGATGCAATAAATAATATTTAAGGTGCAATGCAGACTGCAGTAAATCCATGGGCCTGACATAATAAAAGCAGTATGAATACACTGCATAGCACAAAATACAATATAAAAAACACAGTAGCTATCTTGTAACATTACTGGTGCTGATGCTTTAACAAAATAAAAACAGTAAGTACACACTGCATGGTACAGAATACAATATACACTGCACAATAGCTAAACACTAAGATCTTTAGATGTTTACATACTGGTTATATTTGATTAAAATAAACATGTCAATGCTTTTAGAATCTTTTGGCGAGTCTAGTAATTTAGTTTCATTCCTCTCTGAATGAGCAAAACTATCCAAATCTGAAGTTACTGTTAGGGCTGGCTATTGATGCCATTATCGATTCGGCTTATTGGTCCAATTCTTTATCCCTTTTTGATTCTTGATCACTTTTCTGTGTGGAAAAAAGTAGGTTTTCAGAGTCAACACAACTGCTTTATTATATCTGAGTCTGAACACAAAGGAGCTAAAGTAACAAAATATTTGTACGGCATTCGTTTTCATTAATGTTGACTAAGTCATAGAGAAACCCTGCTGAGCCTGCCTGCATGGTGCTAATGTAATTACAAGAGGATATTCACCCTCTGTAATTAATGTGCCACTTGATTTGGAAGCAGTGGCAGCTGTGTGTATTGTCAAAACAGTCTAGGCTGTCATTCCTGGAATTTAAGTCCCTTGTGTGAAAAGATGTTTCAGCATAGTGCTAGTGTTTCCACCCTGACATGACATGATCATTTTACAGACATTACGAGAAACAGTGTGTCATCTTTCTTTGTGAAATGAAGCCACTCTTTTGGTCGGTTTCTTCCTCTCTGGCATGACTCCTTCTTGTTGCAAGTTTCCAGTGGCTTGGACACCAGTTTGACGTTAATGTTTTGCAATGTGTAACCACCAGAAAAACACAATGAACGATGATCGATGAAAGGAATTCATAAGCGATGATCAGACAATTTGGAACTATTCCACTGTCCCAGTTGTCATAAACACTTTATACTGCTGACAAATATTAACATAATACTCGGGAAAGGTTAGCTTCTTATACGTTCTTATTGGTGTGATAATATCTGAACATGTATGTGCCTCCTCGAATCAGAAAAATGCTGCTCTCTTGGTTCACTGAACTTGAACTGCTCACCGACACTCGATATCTCTGATGGTCCGTGTACAGAGACTCCTGCCAAGGTCAGCAAAGGAGCTTGAACAACACTTCACTTATTCACAGTTCTCCCTCTTCATCCCAACATTTACCACTATGTCTTTTCATAAAAGGCCAAAGCTAATCTTGTGAAACTCATCACTTGTTCAGTATCTTTGTGTGTCCCAACCCAGTGAACTCGCCTAAACGCTCATGAGGGTTAGCCAGAGTGCCATATGGCCCAGCACAGTTTGCCATACTAATTCAACCATGGAGAAACCTCTCTGGCACTACAGGAGATGATTAGCAAGGTGAAGCATGTTCAGAGGCTTTTGTTACACCACAGACTTCAGTTACATCTTTGTCAGCAGCCTCTTTTGTCCCACAAGACTCAAATTGGGCAATTTTCTTGTCTGTCAGCTGATTGTTTTGTGCTTTTCGCCTCTTTCACCTCCGCCTCTCTGCATTGTTTGACAGAAGAACCCGGTTCTATCTGCAAATAAATATGCGAAGCTTGTATATACAGTATTTAGATTTCAAATGATAACCATTAAAATGCCAAAGCAGTGCTGTATCTGATATTCCTTTAAATTACTGTTCACAACAAGCAACATAAAACCAGTCTGAATGTAAACACAGTCTGAGTCAATACTGAAAAGCACCTCACTGGCTGTCATCATTGTTTCTTATCTCTGTTAGGGGGTGTTTTATCTTTGCATTGTTCCCCTGATTAGTCACATATTAAGGGGATTATACAGTAGAGTATCTGTATCAGCATCCGGTCATAGAGCAGGTATGGAGTGACACTGAGTGGGGTTTGTCGTGTGCGAAATGTGGGTCACTGTTGGTTGACCTTTATTTGAGAATGCACTTTTAAACAGACTCCAGACAGACATTTCTGGCTTGTTACATTCATACTTTATTAAATTTGTGGATGTCTCGTTGATGTGGTTCCAGTTTCAATGCTGCACACATTATTTCATCTCGTAAAGACTTTATAATATATATATATTATATGTAACATTCATAGATTGCATAGCATGAAATACATCCGAGGTATTTTGGGTATTTAAGTTGAAATTTACATCCAAAACCTAAAGTTTCAGTCCTGTCTCCTAGAAATTACTTTTGGATATAACTAATTGAAACAGCAAATGTTTTGAGGTTAACTTAAAGCTAAACAAATTAAATTAGTCTTTTTATAATAATGAGATGTTTCTAATTAATGTACCTATGAAAAAAATTGGAGATGGAATATATCAACAAGATGTTCACTTACAACATAACAGAGAGCTAAATAGAATGTTGAGCTCACGTCATCAGGATGGTCTTACCAGGATTCCAAAATAGGCAGTCTTTTAATACATTATCCACTTGTAGTGACTACAGCGTTATGTTTTTCCTTTTTTGTTAACATTTAAAAGAAATCACAGTCTTTTCTTAACTTAACCCAAGTGCTTTTTTGAGTAAACCTAAGACAGGAGTCTAGACACGAAGCTAAAGTTCTGGTGTCAAGTACCTGCATTTAATACACTCACCATCCACTTTAACCACCTTCTTCTGAAGCGTGCATGCTACATGAATTTAATGTTTTGTTACCTGAAAGAAATGTTGTCTTTTGAACACAGTCCAGGTAGCGACAATGTAATTAAGACAGCAGTTTAGTAACATACAAAGGTAATTTCTAGAAGACAGGGTTAAACATTGCCATTTAGTCTTTCTTAATAGTTAATTAATCAACTAGACAAATATTTCACAGTTTGGAGGATTTGCTGCTTTTCCTTCTTCCTTGTCCTATGTGACAGTAAATCTGAATATCTTTGGGTTTTGGAGTGTTAGTAAGAAAAAATAAGACATCTTATAAAATTGTTTGTTGACATTTTTAAGACCAAAAGAGTAACTGATTCATTTTTTAATCCATACCACAGTCCAATGATGTTAGCCCTTAAATCCTTAAGATTCACATGGAAGACTGCATAAAAACAGTAAAGTTTCACCTGAAACCAGACACGATATACAGAACCAGAACCAAGGCCATATAGAAAACCAATAAATTACTGCACTTGATAGGCAGCACTGTAAATATCCCTGCATCCACATCCACACCAGACTGGACTCTGTAAACAGGTCTTTTTCTCAGCAGATATTCTGACTTGTCATCATAGGAAAAGTGCAAGAGTCACTAACAACATTATCAATGCCTCTGTTCTATTTAAGTGTCTCTGTAAGTTGTGACAGTGAGCCAGCATGCACAATACCAGGACCCTGAAACTGAAGCAGCTAAATGGAATTCAGCCATCATTGATCTTAGTATTTACACCTGTGATTTTCTTACTTAAAATGTCTTCTGTGAAAAAGGCTGATTAAAAATACTATAAGAAACATTGCTAAAAAAAAATCTATATTGTGCACGTCAGTAACAATTTAACATAAATCATCCCTGCAGTTTTTCTTTTGAGTACAGCTTCTTTAAAAGACACACGAGTTATATCCCTGAGGGAGAGCAGGTCCAGCCCAGCAGCAGCCATAACCACACTGTCTCTCTTAAGCACATGCTTCTTGATACAGACAGTCCTGGCTTTGCCACAGCAGTAACACCAACTCAGAGCCAAACCAGTTATCAGATAGGTCGGGGCGGAGACTCCCAGAACTGTTGAAATCTTACGACAGCTCTCTTAATCTGCTCGTAGCTCACAAACATCACAATGTTCCAGGAACCCAGACGAAGAAACGAAGGCATGAATCTATAAAAACAATCAAGAAAAAATGTCAGTTTACTGTTACTTTTTGCTTTGCCAAGCATTTAACTTTTGTGAGAGTGATTCCGACATGTTGGCGTTTGATAACTACACTACATACCCCTTATAGAAAGCTGTGGGTCCCTCTTTGATCAGCATGGTTAAGGCACAGTTCATAGCACCGCTGTACTTCCCAGGCGGTGAATTCATGTAGCGTGTTTTCACCACATCCACAGGAGATGCTACAATGGTGGTGCAGAAACCTGCTGCGAAGCCTGCTGTGAAGTGACACGGCATGTTGTCTGGTGGGATGAGAACATACAGGCTTTAGTTACTAAGAAGACCCGCTTGCAGAAACAGGAACAATGACAAGGTGAAATAATGTGGCTGAAATGTTGAGGACTTGAAAAGTCAGTGCTCACCTGTCATCAGGTGGTACTTCAGGATGAGCTCTTTGATGATGTCATAGGTCACCAGCTCGGAGCAGTTCACGATGGCGTTACGAGCTATATTTGGCATGCAACCTGAAAAGACAGATTAACATTTTAAACAAAAAGAAATCATCAAAATCGATGTAGCAGAATCAGATATATCTTCCAAAACCTGGCACCTACATTACCCACAATGCAACTGTAAGTGCCTACATTTCAGCCTGAGATTCAGGTGTGTTGTGTTAGTAGCAGCTAATGAAGCCTCAAGCTTCTAGCCTCAAGCAGAGATGAGGAGCAGGCTACAGAGGGCGGGTTAAACTTGCATCTTCTAACTCCATATCCCCAGGTTTATTTTATTTACAAACTTAGAGTCCTTATCTCCCATCGATGCTGACTCAAGTGACATCGCACAAGGCTTAACATAACTTTTTCACTTAATGCAGTGATTCACTTCGAGTTCCACTTTAAGAATGGGTCATTTTCAGGTTAAATGTAATTGACATATAGTTAATAAATTTAAGTAATGCCCCATTTTAATTTACCTTTCCAGAGCCCTCTCACGCCCTCCTCCCTGGCGATGGTCTTGTAGGCATCCATGGTGCTGTTGTATCTCTTCACAGAGCCGCTCTCAGGCAGGCGGGCCTGAGCCTGGAACCTGATTTTCACCACATCAGTGGGCTGAGCGAAGGTCACCGCCATTGCCCCTGTGGTGGAGCCCGCCAGCAGCCGAACCCCGAGTCCTGCGTCTGTGATGCATGTAAAGACACTGGTTTTTCTCTGATGCAACAAGCAAGTTAACACAGTGATTAGAGACTGAACAGGGGCGCAGTTTTCACGATGACGACAATGAGCTGTAGACACAAAAGTGGAGGTTTGGCTGTGGAGTCATCCGAAGTTTTTTCTCAATTCTGAAGCTTCATTTTAAGCATTTGCGTTATTAAACAACCCAGGTACCAAAGGAGTAAGACTGCTGCAGGAGATAAGCAAACACACCGCAGATAAAAACAAACTATTTGGCTTTTTTAACCTTCAGACTGGTTTAACTGGTTACCTGCAGTCATGCACTGAGATAAAGATGAGACCTGGTAGTCTGTAAGTCTTTCTAGCTAGAAACTGTCAAGTTAATGATGCTGCAGTCATAGGTGTGGAACAGGTAAGGCCTCTGGCATTTACACAAATCTGTTCCCTGGGAGAGGAATCTGCCCTATGCCCTATGCCCTGTGCTCTGGAGCTGGTTTCCTGTAAAAACTACAGAGTGTACCAGGAAGGAAACAAATATTTAGCAAGAACAATTACCTTTATTCATGGCACAATAGACTGTATCACTCCAAAACTGACAACCACTCCACCACATCTGAAACTTGAGTGATCTTTTCCCCCACACCTTAATAGTGCATGTGTCTGATTCCCACACATTAATAATATGGCCATGGAATAGGACCTCGTTTCCACACATTTTGAATTCTTACAAATCACCTCAGAGAGTGTGTCTTTGTATGTACAGTGTGGGTAATATTTTCTGACATTTGGGGGCAGTGTTTCAACAGTCTCATAGCTCTCCCTCAGTAAGCTCTGTGTAATTTGACTGAACTGGTTGTTGTTGAAGCAAGCCGAGGCATGTTTCTATTCTATGAATATAATGCAAATTGTTTTTACTAGATTCAAGATTACACTGTCTGACTTGTCACACATGCATTGAGGCATCTCAGACAGTTGGAAGTGTAAAAATAGCTTAAATCCCGGCTATTATTTAGTTTAAAAATGTCTGCAGGTGAGAATAAGTCATGATTAAATCTGCAACAACTAGTTGTTTAATTGATAAGTCAATCAACTGAAGATTAAACATTTGATGGTTCAGTGTCTCAGATGTCTGCTGCTTTAATTCATTGTCTTACATTACAATAAACAGAGCATATTTGGGTTGAAAATTATCATTAGTTGCAGCCCTGGTGATGACATTCAAGACACATACTGTCTGACCCTCTGGTGTAGAACTGCTTCATGGTGTCATACAGGCCGATGCGGACTGAGGCGAAGCCCATCTGTCTCTGCAGCCCTGCCACCAGTCCACTGTACAGACTCCTCGGGCCCTCAGTCTTCACCATGGTGAAGATGGTGCCAAACACACCCCTGTATTTCACCCTCTGGCCTTCAAGTGAGGGCTTGGTTTCACCTTGGATCTACAGTCACAGAGATGCACAGAAAGCAAGAGTTAAAAGAATTCCCTCACAGGTTACACATGATGTATGGAAACATTCATGACTTTGACATGTAGCAACATGCACATGTTAAAATTCCCCTCCTGTTCAGTGCCTTCTGTTTCTTGTTTTGTCACTACAGTGAGGAAATACTCTCTTACAAGTAACCTACATGCATCCAAAATCTCACTTTCAAGGGAACAGCACATATGTTATAAAACCCAATATGTAATTTCCATGGCCTGAGAAAGCTCAATCAATATTTCTGAGCATGTGCTATTCTCCAGAGAGTCAGAGAAGTAAATCTTAAACTTGTGACATCATCAACTATAAAGCTTGGAGCTGCTCCATAGACAGTGACTAGGGGCCTGATTTTGTGGACCCACAGTGTTTTTCTTTATTTGTAACCAAATAAGTGTCACCTTGTTGTTTTGTTTCTGAAACAGAAAATATACCCATATACTCAGGACATTCCTCTGGATGCCCTCAGTGTCATCGATACCATCATTCAGCATTCATGGTTTATGGAGCTGCTCCAGACTTTATATTCAATGACATCTAATACACCAATTTAAGCACTCTAGTGTTTGGATTTTTGGGAGAGAGTTGTTCCTATTAACTTACGTTTTTGGACCATGTTAGACCATAGAAACACCAGGTATACATTTTGAAAATGGACATAATGGACACCAATATTTGTATTACAATAAGCTTTAAGAATCAAAAGTAAAAGCAGACCACTCATGGAGAATAACCTGTTTCCTGTTTTACTGGCTTATTATCATTATTGATGTATTTATGCACATCATTTTAATGTTGTAAAGGTGGAGGTAAGTTTACAGCTGGGGAGCTTATTACATGATTATTAGGTGATTAATAATCTAAATCTGCTGCAGATAAATAAAATGTGCAGAAAAAAATATTGCCTGCAGGTGTTTTTGGTGGCTTTAGTCACATAGGCAATGTCTGGCTGGGGGTTTAATGATCTCAGTATTTAAAGCAGTGTACCCTCACACTGGCTTCATGCACAGGTGATGGTGCTCACCTGCAGTCTGACTTTGGCTGTGTCCAGAGGGAAGGTGACCAGGTCTGCCACACAGCCAGCTGTTCCCGCTGCAAAGATCTTGACAGCGGCTGTTGGGGCCACATCAGCAGCTCCTCCACCAACCATGATCAATGATTGAGCTCACGGGAACAACACAGTCTTATCAACAAAATAAACGGAGACAGACAGAGCAGCTTCTGTCCGCAGTGAAGAGTTATATCCTACAGTTTAGATATGTGAACTGGTGACTCCTCTGTCCCTTCATGACAGATCCAGGTGGGTTACCTGCAGCCGACGTCAAGTTTCAGGTACTGAAAAGTCTGGCTTCTGAAAGGAAAGTCCTCTTGTTTCGCCATTAGCCATGAAAAACGTGCTCCAAAGTCTCGTGCTACGCATAAGCACAACAGCAGCCGGTCTCCGCAGAGCAGCGCAAACACAGGAGCGCAATAACTGCGGCATCCGCTGTCAGACTGGAGGCGCTGGATCCAGAGTCCAGCCCTCCTGCTCCGGTTAGAAGCGGCTGCTGCACCGCCCTGCGCAAAAACCTGACACACCACATGCAAACAAGTTGCTCCACGCCTTTTTAACGCCGAGTACTAAAAGCCTTTTGGCCAGATGATTCACCTGCATTCAAAACCACAGGGGCCATTTAATGTCATCAGCCTCACCTGACAGCTATATTTGACTTTGGCAGAATTAACCTGTTATAGTATGTTGCAATGCACAGGAATGTGCAACAGACGATGAAGCACGTGTTCAAAGAGTCAGGACATCCAATAAATCTACATGTAACCTGAGGCCTGTTCCAAGAAGCATGTTCTGCTTTCAGAAAAGTAAAGAAATCATGTCAAGAAAACACAAAAAGTATCAAGTGTTGAAAACAGTTAATATTTATTTATAAAAATACAAAATGTTGCATTTAATTTACATGATCTGAAACCACTGAGTTGTACAAATGTTTGGCTAACAAAATCACCATGTACTAGTGACTGTCATCAAAATGAGCTGCAAATATTTTTGCTATTCTTTCAGTCTCTTTCCTCAGGGATGATGGCGATAGGTTAGGACGCTGTCGGGGACCTCTGTGATGTGGAACGCTGTGAGCTGCAGAGCTCGGCCCCTGGAGAGATCAAAACAGGAACACACCAGCAGTGTAAATAATGCTGCAAATAATGAGCCCTAACACTACATTTTTTCTTTTGTACCTACAAACAACAAGCATGGTGATGGATCGAAAGATAATTTGTAGTGTGTTTGAGGTGTGAGGTAAAAGTGACTGCTCAAACAGAGCAAGCCTTTCTCTGGTTAATGTTCATACTAATGGTGGGGCAGGCTTGTCGCGTGTCTCTGTATACGTCATGTCCACTTCCTGCATGTATATAAGAAACCTGTTACATTTATCATTCTAAATCTAAACAAAAATCTATGAGTTTTTAGGCACACCAAGACTTATTCCTTTCTAATTTGGGTTGAGCTTCTCCTTTTTAATGATCCATCCAACTGACAGGTTAGGCATATCAAGATGCCAATTAAACAGCGTCATCACTACACAGGTGTGCCATAGGATGGTCATGATAAAAGAGCCCAATCTTAAATGTGCAGTTTGATCACACAACAATAAGCCTGACACATAACAAAATTTGAAGGAGTGTGGCACTGGCATGCTGACTGTAGGAATGTCCACCAGAGCTGCTTTCTGTAAACTGAATGTCTGAATGTTCATTTCGCTACCATAAGCCATCTCCGACGTCCCTGGTGAGAGCGACGAGCATGCAGATGAGCTTCCTTGAGATGGTTTCTGACAGTTTGTGCAGAAATTCCTCAGTTGTGCGAACCAACTGTTGCATCAGCTCTTTGGGTGGCTGGTCTCAGCGATCTTACACGTGAAGATACTGGATGTGTAGGTCTAGAGCTGGTATGTGTACAAGTGGTCTGCAGTTGTGTGGCTGGTTGGATGTACTGCCAAATTCACAGAAACAGCACTAGAGACCTCTTATGGTATTGAGATGAACATTCAGTTTACAGGCAAGAGCTCTGGTGGACATTCCTGCAGTCAGCATGCCAATGGCACACTCCTTCAAAACTTGCGACATCTGTGTCATTGTATTGTGTGATCAAAGTGCACACTTTAAAGTGGCCTTTTATTGTGACCACCCCAAGGCACACCTGTGTAGTAATGAAGCTCTTTAATCAGCATCTTGATATGTCACACCTGTAAGGTGGATGGATTATCTTGTTGCTCACTGACTGATTTTAACACATATGTGACCAAAATTACAGAGAAATAGTCTTTGGTGTGCATAAAAAAGTCTTAGATCTTTAAGTTAAACCTGTGAAAAATAGGGGCAAAAATCACATGTTACAAACATGTTTGTGGGAGTATTTGTAGGACTAAATGTACATATTATAGTTTGTGGACGTTGACAGCTCAAACCGGTTCTTTAAGATTATCCTTCCTGCAAACACAGGCACATCACCTCCCAACTCAAACTTAAGCAACTACACATATCTGATATCTCCATACCTGAAACCTGAAACTTCACTAGTATACACTGTGTACTACTACATCCTCAGATTCACATGATCAGAGTCAAATTTTAGCACACCTTGAATAATCTTAGTTTGCGCTTTATAGAACAGACAAGACTCTTTATTTACAGTATGCTGTGTGAAAATGCTACATGTCCGTGTGATTTTTATATGTTTGTATTGTGTTACTTCATCAGTAAACTGACAAACTAACAACATCAAGTTTAGCGACAAAACCACCTGTTACCAGACTGGTTTTGTGATGTAGCAATTTTTGTTCAGTGCAGATACTGAGCCCTGACTGTTAAGGATGGGGTTAACACTCAGGGCACAGAGGAGTGTTTTGTTCTTGCAATAAAACAACCACCGCATGCCTCTGACGACATCGTAGCAGTGTCGTTAAAAAGAGTGTCCTGGAGGTGACGATGGGATACAAACACATATTATTCTGTTGATCTTGGTCAACTCTGTTCACAAAGCTAAAGGCTACACAATGTACAGAGAATATGTGACAGAGTATAAACAAATTGAGCACTACACTAAGGGTTAAATGAGGGCAGACAGATGACATATTCCATTGCAGTGTCAACAATGGGTGGAACAATGAACAGTAAATGTAGTCATTACCTTATGACAGTGTGTACATCTATTTGAAATATTTGTACAAGTCAGATTATGAAAAAATGGGTGGACCCCAAGCTGTTAAAGCTGCAATTACACTGACCTTTAGCTGGTACACTGGCCTCTGTTCAGTATTTGTCATGTGAGGTGTGAAATGATCTATTAATAACGCCCTGCTGTCGCATGGCAGTTGGGTCCTGACGTCAACTGACTATAAATTCTACTTTAACATTTTTATTTGTTAAAAAATCTCTAAAAGTGGGAAGATTCTTATACTACATTCTTCCCATAGGACTGTATGTAATAAAATAAGATTAATAAAACCAAGATCTTCAGGTACTAAGTGAGAGGGGCGTGAAAAGTAAAGAGGGAGTGAGAGTAAGTGAAACGCGAGTTGGTGACAAATACTCACCAGGTCACTGGCTGTCTGGGAAAAAAACGGAGCTAAACGAATGACTCTCATAGATGCCTCCAGCTGGTGAGAGGGGAGGAAGAAATTGGGGACCTCCACAGGGGCTGAGCTTTATGTAGAATGTTAAAAAAAATTAAATAAATACAATAGGATGGTATCAACAGGACAGTCACAATCAAAGATTCAAGAGGTAGCTGGTAAAAGCCAAAAGGGGCATTTTAAAACTCCCCTAACAACATCAAAGTGACAAAGAAGTGTTTGTGATTTTCATGGATCCCTGCAGTGTAACTGTTTGGTCAGCAAAAGGTGTTTATCCACCTTTACATCCTATGTAGCAACTGTACAGATGTTAGTTGTGAACAGACTGTATGTCAGGTTATGGGAGTGTGTCTGTGTGTGTGGTTCTTTCTGTCTTTCCCCTCCTGTCTCCCTCTCTTTATATATTCAGGAAGTTGATTAATAAAGCTCAGAGATACCTGCAAACTCTTTGCTTGAGTTGAAACATTTTCAGCTCTTGGGGACATGTCCTCACATCAATTCATCTCACGCCTAGAGAATTTGCATCTTCCCCATGACTTCATGTGCAAAGTTTTCCTCATGTTCAGTCTGAACAAACGGTTACACCAAACACTTTCAAACTAAGTCAGAGGGTGACTGCCTGAATCGGATCATGTGATGTCACCTGCACATGAAAGACACAAAAAATGCAGTGGGGCAAACTAAGAGTGTCACAACAGGGAAGGAAGGACACTTCAGGCTCCCTGCTAGCTGAAGGATAATTCACTCGCTAAGCTAGTTTTGCTTTGAAATTTGAGACAACCTTCAAAAACAAATGATAACAGAACTAATCTGACAGACAGAAAGGCAACAACAAACACAGCTCAAGGATACGGTTGAAGTGGAACATCTTGATTGTCAAGGAAGCATGAAGCATCATGGGAATCTGTGGCATGCTGTGTGGTGGGTGATGTTGTTCCATCAGCTGAGCCCTCGTCGAGGCCGTTGGGTTCGTCTGCTTGTCTTTCATCTAAAGCTAGTAGTGTCCTTTCACCATCTCGCTCCGTGTCTGAAGCGTCTCCTGCTGATCCATTACAGCTGTCACTTTGCTCTTGTCTGACACATTTGTGTTTCCCACTGCAGTTATGAGTTTGCAGATTTAACATCTGGCTCCTCTCTTCCTCCTCGTCCTCCTCGCTCAGATCCAGCTCCTCTGGTGGTTCCATGCTCTCCAGAGAAACCAGGTCAGGTTCTGACAGGATGCTGGTCCAAGGACTGGTTTTGTCTGTTAAAGAGGTCACTTCATTTAGAGGCCTCGGCTTCACCACAACCTCCTCGTAATCTTCATCTTCATCATCATCATAAGCTTCCTCATCTTGTGTGCAACCTGTCCCATCTTCATCTTCGACTTCATCCTCACACACAGCAACCCTGTGGTTTTGTCTTTCCTTTTCCTCCTCAGGCTCAGAGTCTGTATGGTTTTCAGACATCTTTGGTAGTGGTGAATGCAGAGGAGACACTTCTTCTTGGGAAGAATTTGAGGCTCTGTGTGGAGGGGAGATTCTCTCAGGGATGGTTTGAGGGTTGCTGTCTTCAACAAGGGAAGCTGTCGAGCTGCTCTGGTGGTCTGAGGGAATCGTTTCCAGGTGGGGTCCTCGTAGACCTGGGTGAAGAGGACAGTGGAGATTTTAGCAACACTGCTCTGGCATTATACTGTCTTTGTTAGCTATCATTTAATTTTTTTCTTTTTCTCCAACAATCAAGGTCATGCTTTTAAAGTTCCAGTGTGTAGGATTTTGTGGCTTCTAGTAAGGAGGTTGCAGACTGCCCCCATCTGTAAACATGTAGAGGAATTATGGTGGCCAACACAAAAACACGAATGGCCCTAAAGCCAATGTTTGATTCGTCCATTCTGGGCTACTGTAGAAAAAACCTAGCCAACTCTGTCGAGGGAACTAGCTCAGTATGTAGATATAAATGGCTCATTCAAAGGAAAAAATCCACAATTCTTATTTTCAGGTGATTATAAACTAATGAAGACTGAGTTGTGGATATTAAATTCCATCTCTGCCAATATATGACCCTAGAAGAACTCCTTTTTCCTTTTCTGTGCTGGTAAGGTCTAAAACCACAACTTGACAGTGGTGTTTGTGACTTGTTCACAGCTTAAAATTTCAAAATCATAAACTCATGTTGTCTGTGTCCAAAATTGACAGCAATTATCTAACTAGTACTGTGCAGCTGTAACAAACAATAACAAAACACAAACAATCAATTGATGAATCAAAAACTTCCATAGTACCATTTAATAACTTCATATAAATAGCATGGCCACTTTTAGTCACTGCATGCAGCGTTGACTTTATTCCACTCGCAGACATTTCAGCACCACTGGTCCTTCTTCAGAAGACTGAAGAAGTCAAAGGTAGAGTGATGCCTCCATTTATGGTTAAAGTGTTCAAAGCGGCACAGTAGACTGTGTCCGCAATGAACTCTGGGTCAACTGCCAAGGTTGGGTGAACTAGAACAAAGTTTACCTGCCAAGAATGATCTTTAAATGGTAAAAAGACTATTGGACACCTTAAAATAAGCACTCTTTATTGTTCTATTAAATACTTAAATGATATATTCACTAAATTCTACTGATGGGTGAGAAAAGAATGGACCAGAATCTCACCATTAATGATACTGTTGACTTGTCCAACTAACTGGTTAGACTTGAGAAGAAGCTGACGTGTGTCTGTCTCTGTGTCCCTCTGTTCCTCATGCTGGGTGTGACAGTCCTGCTCACTCAGGGGCGGGAATGTAGGAGTTGAAAGCTTACGGCTGAAGTATCTCTGGATGTTGTCCAGCTCGCTTAGTTTTCTCCTGTAAAAACAGAGTCATAGTCAAAGCTCAGGGTTTTTTTAAAAGCAAACAATCACTGTATAGGCTGTGTGTCTGAGGAATGATACCTGAGTGCTGAAAACAGGAAGGAGCTGGAGGGATTGATGTCACCAGCACTGCTGCTATTAACAGAGTGAGCTGCTGTTTGCTCCTGCAGACTCTGATGGTAAAGACGTACTTTGTCCATGTGCTCAAAGTGGCGGTCACTCTCACTGGACCTAATCAGATGTTAGGAAATTTAATAAATGAATGGTGGACTGCCAAAGCTCGTCTCAGCAGCAGGGATATATTTGATATAATGACTGAATGAAAAGATGTGATTGTTCTACAAACCTTTCAGAGAACAGCCTTTCCGTGTGGTCGGGTGACGAGATCTTCTGCTCGGTGTGTCGGCTGATGTGAGAGGGGAAGCTGCTGTATGTGGCTGTGGTATGGTAGCTGAGAGGGAGTGCCTGGAATAAAGTCTGCTGATAAAACACATTCATCATTATTAATATTAAACATAAACAAGTTATTTTGTACTTTCACTGTATATACAGTACAGGCCAAAAGTTTGGACACACCTTCTCATTCAATGCATTTTCTTTATTTTCATGACTATTTACATTGTAAATTCTCACTGAAGGCATCAAAACTATGAATGAACACATGTGGAGTTATGTACTTAACAAAAAAAGGTGAAATAACTGAAAACATGTTTTATATTCTAGTTTCTTCAAAATAGCCACCCTTTGCTCTGATTACTGCTTTGCACACTCTTGGCATTCTCTCCATGAGCTTCAAGAGGTAGTCACCTGAAATGGTTTCCACTTCACAGGTGTGCCTTATCAGGGTTAATTAGTGGAATTTCTTGCTTTATCAATGGGGTTGGGACCATCAGTTGTGTTGTGCAGAAGTCAGGTTAATACACAGCCGACAGCCCTATTGGACAACTGTTAAAATTCATATTATGGCAAGAACCAATCAGCTAACTAAAGAAAAACGAGTGGCCATCATTACTTTAAGAAATGAAGGTCAGTCAGTCCGGAAAATTGCAAAAACTTTAAATGTGTCCCCAAGTGGAGTCGCAAAAACCATCAAGCGCTACAACGAAACTGGCACACATGAGGACCGACCCAGGAAAGGAAGACCAAGAGTCACCTCTGCTTCTGAGGATAAGTTCATCCGAGTCACCAGCCTCAGAAATCGCAAGTTAACAGCAGCTCAGATCAGAGACCAGATGAATGCCACACAGAGTTCTAGCAGCAGACCCATCTCTAGAACAACTGTTAAGAGGAGACTGCGCCAATCAGGCCTTCATGGTCAAATAGCTGCTAGGAAACCACTGCTAAGGAGAGGCAACAAGCAGAAGAGATTTGTTTGGGCCAAGAAACACAAGGAATGGACATTAGACCAGTGGAAATCTGTGCTTTGGTCTGATGAGTCCAAATTTGAGATCTTTGGTTCCAACCGCCGTGTCTTTGTGAGACGCAGAAAAGGTGAACGGATGGATTCCACATGCCTGGTTCCCACTGTGAAGCATGGAGGAGGAGGTGTGATGGTGTGGGGGTGTTTTGCTGGTGACACTGTTGGGGATTTATTCAAAATTGAAGGCACACTGAACCAGCATGGCTACCACAGCATCCTGCAGCGACATGCCATCCCATCCGGTTTGCGTTTAGTTGGACGATCATTTATTTTTCAACAGGACAATGACCCCAAACACACCTCCAGGCTGTGTAAGGGCTATTTGACCAAGAAGGAGAGTGATGGAGTGCTGCGGCAGATGACCTGGCCTCCACAGTCACCGGACCTGAACCCAATCGAGATGGTTTGGGGTGAGCTGGACCGCAGAGTGAAGGCAAAGGGGCCAACAAGTGCTAAACACCTCTGGGAACTCCTTCAAGACTGTTGGAAAACCATTTCAGGTGACTACCTCTTGAAGCTCATGGAGAGAATGCCAAGAGTGTGCAAAGCAGTAATCAGAGCAAAGGGTGGCTATTTTGAAGAAACTAGAATATAAAACATGTTTTCAGTTATTTCACCTTTTTTTGTTAAGTACATAACTCCACATGTGTTCATTCATAGTTTTGATGCCTTCAGTGAGAATCTACAATGTAAATAGTCATGAAAATAAAGAAAACGCATTGAATGAGAAGGTGGGTCCAAACTTTTGGCCTGTACTGTATAAATATTTGTTCTTACTGGCGAGCTTTTAGCAGCTTCTTCATTCACAGTTTTTCTCTGCTCTCTGAGATCTTGGACCCCCGTCAGTGGTGTGATGGACACTTTGAGCTGGCCGTGACACTGACCACTGAAGTCTGTGATGTTGTACCAACCGCACACTGACTGGAACCCACAGACTAAGGGGGACAGGTCTACAGACGCAAATCCAATCACCCTCTCCGTTTCTATAAAAGTAAAAAAACAGAGAGTGAATTAATACATAAAAGAGATCAATCTAATCAGGCCTGACATGACAACTACTTTTGATGGATGATATATTGACCCTGAATTAATTGCAATAAACGATACATCATTTTGAGACCATTTTATGCCACTGTTATGACAATATAACAGCACAATAATGCATATGCACCCTTTCAAAGAGCAAAAATCAGACATTGTAATACTTCTTAAAAAGTAATTTGTTAAACATATGTTAATATATACAATAAAGTTGATATATTATAGTACCTTAATGGGAGTAGCCCAAACTTAACTCAGTTTGACACTTGCTGTAAAAATTTGGCCAACAAAAACAAAACCAAGTGATGCCTCTTGCGACTAAAAGACAACTTTAGCGAAGCTCTGTGAACACCACATTTGCCTACATAATCGGGCTGGTGTTCTCCCGGGGATGGACACTCTAGAAGCTGAGCAGTTTGCAGGTGGATTTATGGAGTGGTGGATGAAGCTGTTGGAGGGTAAAACTACAAACAACAGACTTTTTGGGTTGTTGCTAGAAGATGGCAAGCTAATGGCTATCAGGACTGTGATGCTTCGACTCCAAAAGTGCTGCTGCAGGCTACCGGTAAGCTACGCTGTGTCGTTTTTTAAGTCTTGTTTAATTTTCTTTAAACTCGCACAAGTAGGTGAGGTGGAGAGAAAAAAAGGGGAAAACCATTGCACCCAAGTCTTAAAATGGACAGGAAAACCCTGCTGTTAATTTTGGCATTATGTTGGCTAAGATGTTGGGGACATTCTTGTGAAAATACACACATATGTAAATAAAACAGGAAATACAGAAGTCTGCAAAATTAGTAAGGTCACGTCCATGTACTGTACGAAAAGTAGATAACTTAATTATCGTGACAGGCCTACATGTATCATATGTTGTAAATTAAAACTTCTTTCTTTACCTCCTTTGTGCCAAACTTTGAACACGAGAGATTGCTGTGGATCAACCAGCAGCTGCTTTGAAAGCCTGTAAATTTGAAACAAATCATCAGCCTGATATCTGATAAGAACTTGTTTTAGTGTACCATCAATATCCAAAAAGATTTAACTTGATGTCTGTGATATAACTCGACCTGCACTCATGTTGATGGTCCCACACAGGGCAGTCAGTGTTGGCTATGACAGCTGTGGACACTGGTGCAGCAGAGTCTGCAGTGACGTACGAGACACAGCAGCATGGTGACCCATCACTGCGCTCTGCTAGAGGACAGCCTGCCGGAGAAACATAATACACACGTCATTATAAATGTTCTGTAATTCAAAAAAAGTGGAAGAAAGTAGATTTGAGATCGTGACCTCACCTTTCAGATTCAGGTGCATAGCCTGGTCCACTGCAACAGTCACAGGGAAAGATTCATCCATGCTCATTTCTGTGTGCTGCACAGATGTGATGTCTGTAGCTGTTCCGGAGGATTTATTCTTGTGTCCCCTTGGTGATTTTTTGGGTGTAGTGGGTGAGGGGGCTCGATCTGCTGTTTCCACCTCATCTGATAAGAGCTCTTCCTGATTGTCAGAGTCCATCTGGGTGTCAACCGCAGCGGGTACTTCAGCCGGGACAGAACCTGCTGTCAGGGTAATGTGCACCCTCAGAGCAGCCCCTTGAAGATCTGCTGCTGAGTGTCTGAACAGCGGATACACTCCTGAAAAACAACAAAACTGTGATTACACCCAGAAAAATTCATAATTCTACTAGAGCAATAATAATCATTAAAATTCTAACACAATTAATCACTGTTTACCACTTAGTGTGAGCTTCTGTTTGGATGTCTTCACTAGAGAGGACAGATCAACATACGCTGAACCAACCAGTCGGTCTGTGTTTCGAGGCCTTTGGGTTTTGTCTTTTGTAAAGGCGACCCACACCTGAACCTCCAGTCGCTCCTCTTGAAGATACCACATCAAGGGCTGAGTGCTCCTCAGCTCCACAGTTCTGCTCCCCTGGAAAGCCACCGTGGCCTGGCCTTCCTCCTCAACACAGGGGTGTTTCATCTGGGAGCAGAAGGCATCCTGGTCGTAGAACTTGTACCTGAAGTAACAGTAGGTGGAGCGCTCGATTTCACCGAGGCCTGGCAGCAGCAAGCAGTGGACAGGTATCCACGCTCTAGGCACTGAAAAAGTCAAAGACATTCTTCTCATGCTGTCTCCCCAAACTTCTTCATCATCTTGCATTTCATTCTGTGCTGTTTCCCAGCTCAAACCCTGAGCAGCTTTAATGACTCTTTCTCTGTCTGAGTGGTGGGCAAATTTGACAGAGATCTCGAGGCCTCCAACCAATATGTGCTGGTGCTGAGATGAACTTGTTTCCTGAGGTATGTACACTCCAAACCAGCCGGAGATACCTTTATGTTTGGAGAAAGAAACAAAATTACTGTGTATTTTCCAGAAAATCTATTTGACCCAGGAGCCAGTAGGAGTGCAACATACCTGTTCTTTTGTAGATAAGATCAACCAGAGGTATTTTCACTGTGCCCAGCATCACATCCTGAGGCTTATGAGTGTGTACTGCTGCAACAAATAGCACAAAACAAATTAGTAACTTGCAGACAGATATTCCTGACTAACATTAAATGTAAATACTTGCAGACACACAGCTTCTATACCAGAATATTTCTGAACCAACTAAAAGAGGTAAAATAAATTCACCTTTCTTCTATACAAGCTGGGGCACCTCTATTAACAATAACTTACTATGTGGACTAATTTATGAAAAATTTTAATAACTTTTCTGTAAATATTTTATAAAAGTATTAGCCAAACAAAAAGGGGGACACTACATGTTCAAAAAAACATTACTTCCACGTAAAGTGTTACTACAAAAAGAAATAACATAAATTATAATGTCTAAATTTGTAACATTTTTATTCATATGTAATTCTGGTAAATACATCAACCTTTGTGATTATCTTTGTTCCAGACAGTGAAGACAGCAGAAGCTTCTTCCAGCTGCTCAGCCAGGCTGCAAGTTTCTCCACTGCTCCTCTGAACCAGCAGATCACAGGACACCTCCATGTGGTGGTCGAATTCTGGGCAAAAGGTCCTGGCAGCTATGCGGGTGCACCTCCTCTCTCTCTCAGGCAAGAAGGAGAGCTGGACTGTGACGTATGTGTTCAGTCCCACACTAGCAAAGTAGCTGAATCTTTCATTTTTCTCTGATACAACCCTGAGACAAAGAGACAGAAACACAAAAGCAGACATAAGACACCTCGAAGCAGTGAAACACCTGCCATCAGACCAAGTAATGGAGCTGAATGTCACTTCATACTGATCTCAAAATGTGCAGCAATTTGCTTTTATTGAAATAAGGCTAGTGGCAGGAGTGTCAGCAGTAGAGCTCTAACTCAGCAAATAAAACAAACTACATTAACTGATGGCTCGATCTGGCTTGATACCACCATCTTAAACAGTTACATATTTTAGACTGAACAACTGCCCTTCATGCAAACCCAGAACGTTCCCATTTATCATCACACAATAAGGAAACGTTTCACACACATTTACCCAGGCAAAGAGGGGAGTTTCCATTTCTGAAAAAATACTAAATTATCTATCTACATATCTAATCATTCAAAAACCTTCCAGTTTTATCTACATTTGTGTAAATTCCACTTTGAACGCCAGGTTGTGTAAATTCTGTTTACTATCACATGATTACTTGGTGATATACCTTGCTGCAGCCTGCAGACCTGATGCTCTGTGCACTTGAACCTCGAGTGTTACAACACGAGAGGAAGCTCCTTTACCGGTCTGACCATGAGGTCTCACTGGTCGGTGCTTGTACCGAATGCACACATCCAGCAGGCCTGTGAAACACAGCAGATCAGTCACAACAATGGAGATAATAAATGTCTCAGTGTAGTATTATAATACTGTCTTTACTCTGTGCATTATCTATGTACCTGAGGGCTGAGGCTGATGTTTTGAGGGACTGTCTGTCCTGGGGATCAGGGGCAGGGAGAACATTTGAGCCTCGTTAGGATGTTGTCTCTGCATGGTGACCATCGCACACAGTTTGGACAACGGAAGCATTCCTTTGGCCACAAGCTGGTCTCGAACGTTTGGATAATAGTATCTGCAGAAACATTACAATTATATGAAAGCATTGATAACTTGGCCACTTTAGTTTTGCATCAAGCATTTACATCATTGATGTGTTGTGTGTTATCAGGCACTGTTGTACATTCATACACAAAGTAATGGAGGTTACATTCTTTTGTTTACAAGATAGTATCTACTGCTGCGAGGAGGTGTTTCAGAATAAATATAGCTTTTTCTTTTTTTGAGGAGGTTCAAGTCTGATACAAAAGGACTGCCTATATAACAACAGGGCCTCTGCCTGTCAGAGATGCAACACTTAAAGGCAGAAGCATAATTCAGGATTTAGGTGCAGGAAACTAACTGGATAAAACAGCAACAATCACAAACCTGCACCACACTTCAAACTGGACTCCTCCTCCACTGCTTAGGCCTTGACTTGAAAGAGAACTGAGCATCAGCCTCTGAACAGGAACTCCGTCAGGAGCCAGAAGCACATGAGTCTCTGTGTGGCCAAACACTGGGTCGGGGACACACAGAGTTGTGGTGGTACGAAACAGCTTCAGGTTCACGCCTGTTGGAGGTGAGGTACAGGTCAGAGTGAGGCAGAGGGAAGAAAAACTTTTTGGGATATTAAGTTGCTCACTAAAATGGCCTTACTACTCTCTATAAGGTTTTGGTCCACTTTTGCAGCAGGGTCACTGTCCTGACAGGGGAAGCTGTATTGGACGTAGCAGTCAGCCTCGCCCCACACTGTGGACTGTAGAGGTGTCAGCCCATTTACTTTCTCCACTCTCATGACAAACACATGCTCTCTCAGAGTTTCCACCTGTGCTGCAGTCGCCTGAGGGGGAAACAGAATTGATGACTTGTCAGCAGTTGGTATGTACTCTTTACAGGAAACAAAGAAACAATGCACTTAATTGGAAGATGTGACACATTTCTTAGCTGACAAACCTGCGGACACACATACAGTATACAGTGTTCAATGAGTCTAAATGTTTAAGACGGTATTAGTATCAGATAAGAGATTCTTTATTTGTTTGGTTTTACATTTTCATGACTGTTCAGTATGATCTTAAATAGTCCATCGGTCAAATGGAAACAGCTGGACATGCTTCAAATACACTGAAGTGCTTTCTAAGTATCAAAATAAAGGTCAGCCTAGTTTACTCACTAACTTATTAGTAATATTTTTTACAGCGCAGCCGCAGACTTCATTTTTTGCAGTTTTAGCACTTCCTCAGGGAACTTTTTTGTGAATAGCCATGGAGGAACAAGAAGACACACACAAAAAATACTTCAAGCATTACATTACAAAATTAACACAGACCTTTGTTTGTGAATGAGGCTGATGATCAAGCAGATGAACAGGTCTCACGAGATGTGGCACAGCGTCATAGTCTTCATCCCTCGTGCGCTGGAGAGCGACTATCTGCTCCGATTGGCCCATAGCCAAAACAACCCTGAGGTGTCCTTTACAACTCCCTGAGAACACATCGATGACTGGCATGTAGCTGTCCACCCCTAAAACAGGGTACTGCGCCTGGAGAAGAAGGTGGGCGATCTTTGGATCCCTAGAGGGGGAAAAATGATAAAGGGAGAAGGGTTACTGGTCTCACGTGCTGCTTTACTGTAACAGTACTTTGGTGGTGGAAAATTCCTCGAGTTTGATTTAGAGAAAACAAGACGTGTGGAATGTAGATGAAAAAACAACAACATGATCTATTTGAAAGCGTGCAACAGCACCACCCTGAGGGCAGGTTAAATAAAGAGGATATAAATTATCCTCATAATCTGTTTGCCTGCTCTGAACTCAGATATCACAGTTGTGTTTGTAATTTCTAGAGCTGCAACTAAGAATCATTTTTAAAATGACTGATTGATTATTTTCTCTATTAATCATTTGGTCTATGAAATATCACACAAAAAAATGCCTGTTACAATTTCCCAGGAGCTGAAGTAGTTGTATTCAAGTTGCTTGTTTTGTCCGACAACAGGTCCCGAACCCAAATTTGATTTACTATCATAGAGGATGAAGAAAACACACTAGTGGATGGAACCAGAGAGTTTTCTGTACTTTGCATAAAAAAAAACAAAAAAAAACTTAAACAATTAATTGATTATCAGAAGTTGCAGATACAATTTCACCATAAAAGTGACAATACCACTTGAAATCTTTTGTTATAATTTGTGTCAATTCATTCCTAATCCAGACAAAAATGTACTTAATTCAATTTATTTATTGATTTCTATTAACAAAAAAAAACAAAAAACAAAAAACAGTGCTGTCTGTCTCCAACTTGCCTAAATGACATGTAGAACTGGTGGAGAGGTAATTTAACGAGGCCGAGGAGTCGATCCTGCCCTGAACCTCCTGCCTTCTGCCACACCTCGATTACCAACACATTATTCTTCATCCGCTCCAGCAGCTTAGTCGTTAAAGCCACAGGAGTCACCTGAGGCGAAAGATGAAGAAAAAAGTTATGTGGGTCAGTGAGATTCTGTATTTACAATGGAGATGAATGTTGCTATCTTTGTAGCCTGATTTAAAATGTCAGATCTGGTTAGAAGACTTGATCTCCTTGGCTAACCTGAACAAAGTTGAAAGAAGGATTTGTCTGGCCCCAGCTGATGACAGATCTTGCCGTCTCATCACACCAGAGTTTACAGTTCAAGTATATGTTTGGAGCCTGCATGGGCCCACAGCTGAAGTTCTTTCCATCTGGCACCATGAGTATCGTATGCAGAAGAACTTCAGATTCCCTGTCCACCTGCTGCTGCTGTGATCTATAGAGAGACGTGTGGAGGCCAGGATGGGGAGAGGGTTCTTTCAAGGGTTTCTGAGGACTCCAAACATTTAGTCTGGGAGCTTCAAAAGAGCCAGCTGGTAGCTCCTCCCTGCTAGTGTCAACATGCTGAGATCTGGGGCTGGTTTCCCTCTGTGGACTGAGTACAGTTTGTGAAGGTGAGGTGTCTTTCTGAGCTAGCTTGCTTTTACTTTTTTCAGTGGAGAACTCTCTGTTGTCTGCAGCGAGTTCTAGTGACACCTGAAAAAAATGTATTATGACAGTCACTTGGGTAACAAATACCAGGCTTGAAAACATGAATTCCTGGGTAAAGAAAACCCTATAATACCTTGAGAGGTCCAATGTCCTGCTTTTCACTGTTTCCCTCCACACTCTGTACAGGCAAGACGACAGACTGATTCAACTGCTTGCTCTGAAGCAGACAACGCAGCGGGTGGACTGCCTTGCCGATGGGAACAGGCTGCAACAAACAAAGCCAAGGTCATCATCTTCACTGCATTCCTTTAAGTACTTATTAATGTCTACCTGTGTTTCCAGACAATCAATATTACTTATCTTAAACAATCAAATGACTAATGTTTAGTCAAAAAAATACTTACTTTTTTTTGGTTACTCTTTCGTGAGTAAATCTTGAAGATCAAATCAGTTTCCCACCATCTTTTAACTGCTGCTGTACTGAAGTGGACAGGAAACACAGAGTGCTGATGGAATTTAACCACTGAAAAACACAGAAGAGTGTATGTCAGATTCAGTAACAAAGTCAAAACAATAAATGCCACTCAGGTGGGTTTCATAAAAGCAGATTCTTAGAGGTCATACCTCCTCCTGTGAGATTACTGGCAACAGCTCTGGTCACCTCCCCATCCCCACCTTTACTACGATCATGTCGACTGGAAGTGGAAGCCGTTGGGAACACATACTCGATAAAATATGTGCTAATGGAAAAAGAGAGATAGCACAAGCTTTGGTTACAATTATTTCAATATTATATCTGCTTGGGACTAATGTTTAACGTTTTGCGCACCACTTCTTGCTGGTTAATGGTCGAGGAGGTTTCCCTTTGCTAGAGGTTTTTCTAGGTGTGGTGGCTGCGCTGCCTGTGGGTACAGTCAGGGAATCGATGGTCACTCTTGCCAGCCTGATCAAACTCAGCAAAGTCAACTGCTCTGCACTCACGCCAGGAGGGATACCACCAGCATCTGCAGACCGCTGAGCCTCTGAATTTGGCCTACACAAAATCAAAATATGGTGAGTAACTGTCTTAAATGTACAAAAGGTGGTATGGTTTAATCTAGCCTTTTCTCATACTGTGTGATTTGTCAGTGCTACATGCTATTCTGGCTATTCTGGTTTAACTTTATTTTAACAACCTTTGAAGGTAGAGGGATAAAACACACACACAAACACAAACACAAACACACACACACACACACACACACAAAATCTTCTTCTAATTGTTAACTGTCCAAGCAGCACAGCTTAACGAGCATGTAAAGGCCCTTACCCTCCACGAATCTTGGGTCCGGACTGTGTCAGCTGTTTTTCACTCAAGGACGTTTTTCCTTGACCCTCGACCTCAGTGTCATTTGGTCTGATATCAGACATCTGACACACAAGAAGACATGAATGACTTCAATGATTCTCAGTGAGAAAATAGTAAACTGACACTGACATTCCACATGAAACGTGTTTAGCTGTGACAATTATTATAAAGTTGTCTACTTACAGGAGTTTTGTAGAACAAATTTTCCAGCAGGCTCTGATCATATTGTGGATCATTGAGCTCACTGTCCCCACATACACTGCTATGGCCAGAAAGAGATTCAAGGAGGGAGCCATATCCATCCCAGGGAGGCAGAGGAGACGTATTCAAGCTAAAATAATACAATTATTGATTGGAAAGTGGAATGAGGAGTGGAGTGGTAAACTTGGTCACATTTTCAGGCACTTCTGGAAATAAATGTGTATATAAGTACCTTCCAAGGAGCAGATCCACAGCTCTGTTATCCATATCAACAGGACCATCTAAGCTGCTATCTGAGACTACAGCAACATCATCAGAGTGTTTGAGAGCTGAATCAGCATGAAGAATATTTTGAAGAAACATCCCAGAGGGAGAAGGGAGGGGCCTACAGACACAGGAATAAAGTATTATAGACTGTGCATTGAAAGATGGTAGAAAACTTTTTTTTTTTATTATAAAGTACAAGTACTAACTTGGAAGGTGGCAGAATGTTATCCTTTGGGAGAGGCAGAGGGGTGTCTTTCAGAGCAGAGGCAGAATCCATGTCACATTTTAAAGCTGATACCACCATAGCATTTCTGAGCTTGTTTCCACGCTCTAGAATAACTAAGATGAGAGTCTGATAAGACACATTCATATATGTGCGTTTGTGTTTATGTGAATAAGATGTATAATCATGCTGCAACCAACCTGAGAGGATATCATTGGTCGATTGGCCAAAAGCCTCCTGACTTGAAGGATTCACAGCCGTTTGATTGTCCTGAGATCTGTCTGCTCTCGGCATCTGATTCTCCACTGACTCTTCTTTACCTTTGTCTTCCTGGGCATTTTGGAAATATAAGTGGTCCTTCCCTCTGAAAATATTACAACAGTATATACAGTAAGATTTAAACTTACTACTGGTGAGCTCTTATAACAAGACACAGGCATTTGATCATGAATAGCAACAACTTCAAACCTTGGTGTGTTTCCACCGCTGCTCCCAGCTGATTCTTTCCCACTGCTGGCTGAAAGTGATCTGGGCTGCAATGGCACGGTTAGTGTGGTGACTTGCGGCCCTTCAATGCTGATATCTGTGACAGGACCTGAGCTGCTGCTGTCATAAGCTTCTGTCAGAGGCTCCAAATTAAGGGAAACCTGAGAGGGTAAAAGAAAAGAAAAGGAAATTCAAGTTTTCCTCCAGTTTAAGTGGAGTCTCAATCTTCACTGCACTTCAGTATACCGAACTTTATTCCACAGATGTTGTTGGGAGGTCAATGTGAAATCAAGTGTCCACTCACCTGTAACTCTCCCAGCTTCTCAGATGTCGGAGACACAAGTGTGTAAAATCCACCGATGGGGTATGACATAGAGAGACGAGAGATGCCCGCAACCTGAGCCCGTGCAATCGGCAAATGATCGGGTTTTGTCAGAACCTCCAGCACCAGAGAGCCCATATCTGTTCATGAATGACAGGTTAGTGGTTGATTTTAAACACACATTTAAACTGAAACAGATCAAAGCCTTTTTAGTTACCTGTAAGATATGAGGTGAACTGCTTTGGCCCACAGCGGATGGGGAAGCGAGCTGTGGTCTTGATGGTCTTCTGTGACGGCTGTGATCCATCTCTCGGAAAAAAGTGTGTCCCGTTGGATGACTCTCCCCACCAGCGCAGCCTGACGAATGTTGCAGACGGGGGCTTTTGAACTGTCCATAATACCCGGCTTATTGTCACCCGCAGGAAGCATCTTAGCTGACCTTCGACCAGAGGAGGGAGGGTGGTGGCAGGGGACACATCGCTGGGGACTGCAAGGAGCAATTTCTAATTAAGGCAAAGTCAAGACACTAACAATACAAATACTAAAGTCTAGCATCAAAGGTAACCAAATAGGACAGGTAAGAAAGGTATTTGCTGTAGGAATTTGCTCGATGTTGGCTAGTATAACAGTCATATACTTAACTATTCATTAGGGCTCTGTAATAGTCCAGTATTATCATTCACTGACTTTTTGCAAAACGACATTTTGATATGACCTCAGCACACAAATCTAACAAAATAAGTTACGAGAGTCTTTACTAAAGTGTTTTACATGTGATTTTGCAGATGCTGTATATAACTGTATTAACACTGTGGTAATGTTTTCAGCTATATCACCCAACCCTACTATTCAGATAACTTACAAATGCATCACACTGCTTACAAAAAATCCATTACTGTTTCTAGCCCTGTTGGAATATTTAACTTTAAAATCATTAACTTAAAGAGGCATATGATCTTCGACAATAATGCATTAACGCAGGTGTGTTTAAATCAATGTAAAAGGGTGCCAACACTATTTTGTTAACACAACTCTCGACCTCAGTGCTAGAAATGAATCAGAACAAAACCCCAACACTTACAGTCAAGGTCTTAACACCCCAACTAAAGTTTGATAACAGTGTCTCATATATACATAATAGTGTTAATTAGGGAATTTTATGCTATGCAGCAGCAAATACAAATGCAACCCAACACTGTAAGAGACACACATCCACCTAACAACTTGAGTGAACATCATCTGATATGGACTGCAATATTTTTCTTGTGAGAATAAAAAGGGATGTTATACTTTGCTTTTAGCCTCTGGCAAACCAACATACTACGTTGCGAGTTAACATTAATAAACTAAAGCTTACTGAGGCACATTAACAACTATAACACATGCAAAGACCGAGCCAAAATAAGACCTTATCAACTTAATAAGACATTAGCCAGTGAGCTAGCATACGAGGCTAACGCGAGAATGACAGCTGACGCTAACAGCTACTTAACTTAGCTGAGTTGCTAGCAGGTAGCTAAGCTAACAACAGTTTACCTTTCTTTTTGCTGCCTCCGGCTCTGACGGACCTCTGTTTTCTGCTCTTCATCCCTCAGCTCAGTAAATATAGATGGTGAATGACAGCCAGGCCGGAGCAGAGGCTGAACCGTTGGCAGGCATGATTTTTATCACACTCCAGCTGACTAATAATCCGTTTAACAGAGCTGCTAGTGCTACAAACACTCACACCCACAGCGGCAGCGCGCTAAGCAGTTTCCGAGCAACACAGTCCGAACGTGCCGCCTCCGCTGCCGCTTTGACAGAGGCATTCTGGGAAATTGAGTTTATTTTGTTGTGACGCTCCAAAGTCACATTTCTGCATAAATTTGACTTGTTAATACACATTTAGTGACCCCTGTGTGGTAGTAGCACTCTTACATTTAGACAGCTCAGATCTCAATGATGAAATTTGCCTATAAATTACTGCACCCATCGTTAATCATAATAAGATTTACAAGATTATTAATTATTAACAAGATTTATACATATGACATGATAGTAACACACATAATTCATAATAGAAGTTACAATTACCCTCATATTAGGTTTGAGACATGCATTCAAGTTTTATATACTGAAACACAGGCACTTGTTTATTTGCTCCCATTTTAATGCATGACAATAGACAATAATGTTTTATTCAGTAGATTTATATGGCACATTTGTTGTCAAAAGTAATAAAGAGGCAATCAAATAAAACAATACAGTAAAGGAAATGCAATAAATTATAAAATATGAGTGCAGTTCCATTAATGCATCCAAAACCTACCAGAAAAATGTCAGTGCTATGGTTGCCTAACCTGAATGTTTTTGGACTATGTCCACATAAAAAAGTAAAAATAATATCAACCATTGTTAAACCTTACAATAAAAGCACCACACACATTTTACAGCAATAGAGTGAAAAATTCAACAGCTCACTAATGCCATGTAGCCTTCTTTTACATCACCAGCAGAGGGAAGCACAGATCTTTCCATTAGGGGTTACAAAGCAGGCTCACTATCAGCAGTATTATATGTAGTGATATTCTGTCTTTTTCTAGATTAAAAGAAGCTTGCTGTATTTCTGCTTCATTCTATTTTGCTGTTGCTAGATGACGTCTCAGTCAGTCAGACTTCAAGTCTATACTTCCATCAGTTGTGCTAATGAATGACACTGTAACAAGTAATCAGCTAGTTCTCAAAGTCTTTCACAAGTTTCCCAACATGTTAAAACTTACTGTATGGACACAAAGTGTTGAGGCACGCATAATGGTTTGTCACGTATGCTATAGGGAGTTTGGACTATGCTCCTGCATGGCAACAAGTCCCTCTGCAGCTATGTTTGTTGTGGTGATCATAGTAACAGTGAGGGCCACTGAGGGTGTATGGGAAGAGTTCAGAAAAAAGCCCTTTGACTTCTGGAAAAGATCAGGCCTCAGGTTGTGAGATGGACCTCTGAAAACTTTACTCTCAACCTGCTTTCCTGGATTTCCTTGTTTATTATGATTTGACAAAAAGCATCTCAAATTCCCAGACACGAATCTCTGCTGCCTCTAGTCAAACTGAAAATCTGATTAGCATAGCACATAAAAAGAATCATTGTAACTTATCTGACTATAAAATACATTTCTAAGTTGTTGCAAACCTTTTGTAAATTTGTGTATATTCTTTAAATTAAATAAACTTGTGGTTTCAACTGTTTTGAGTCCAAAAGTAGGTATAACTGTGTTTTTAATGGCATGGATACTTGCAATGAAACTGATTAGAGCTTCAGAAAAGCAGCGTCTTTCTATCCATCAATTCCAAGGGGAAATAATCAAGTCCTGCTGTTTAGTGTGCACACAGGAATGTGCAATATGCATCCAGTATACAGCCCCTGCTTATATTTTCCGTGTGTCAGTATGTGCATTAGGAGCGTGTCTGTTTGTGTACACTGTGGGGAGCTGGAAAGAAAACATTTATCACTGTGACGGAGCAGAGGTATTATTCCTCTGTCACCCCCAAAGATCCCTTTATTCAATCTGCAGAATGCCCCCCAAAAAGGTCACATATAAAAGTACCTTATTGCACAAGCTCTTAATACTGTGTATGGTCTTTCTCACTCTGCTTTAAGATGGGTTATGACCTACTTAGGCACAGAAATCTCACATATCTGATTGGTATGCAGATAGATTGGTTGTGTGAGTTCAGACATGAAGTTAGAAGCAGACGTGTTCCCAATCACTTGGCGTGCAGAGCGTGAGTAATGATGACCAGCCTTTTGGAGCTCAATAAGAGGCTGACAGATCTGGTTCATCTGTTCCATTATACAGCCAGTTATTGAGAGAGTCTCCCACAGGAAGCGATGACCACATCGTCCAGTCAGCTGGGAATAAACAGGCACACTCACAATGATTGGTTCCTTTGACTCATAGCATCAGTCTGAACTGCAGTCCTGAGGTCTGAGATAACCCATTACAGAATGACTTCAACCCAAATCCGTGTTCTTAATCTGCATTGTTGAACACAGACATTGCCTTTAAAGTCCTAAAACTGGTACAACAATGCTCTGTGTTTGCTTGTTCCAGCACTTCATGGAAGCGTAATCACATTTAAATTCATTTGAACATTCAAACAAAAACAGCATTTTATTTTTGGCTGCAACATTACATAACATAGAAAATTCTAGTTGCTTTGTGCATCACATTAAACACTGTGTACTGTGATTCAGGCACGTTAGGTGTCTTTGTGTGCGCAAAGTACATCAGTGTTGATTTGTAATGACAAACCCTTGAGTGGGCCCAGTGTGGGCTGCAACATGTCAGTTTTTGAGCAAGGAGGCAAACAGCCCTGCACAGTTAAGTGAAACCAGCACAGTGTGTGAAGGCAGAGGCCTCTCTCCATCTGCAGGAACTGGCCAGTAGGAGCAGGAGAGCGTTTGGCCTCTGGGGGCTGATTGCCAACTGCCCCAGTCCTCTTCTACCCCGCCTCTCGTCTGTGTCCACTCCAGCACTGTATGCTTCAGGCTCCCTGGGGCCCGGGGCTCCAATCACAGACGCAGGCTGCCCCATAACGGCTTTCGCCTCCCCTGCCTGTGTGCTCACTTTCTGGCTCCCTCCTTCTCTCCACCCGCAAGTGTGCCTCTCAATTGTAGAGGCTGGCTCTTGTACTCCAGAAAAGGGGCCCAGCTATCGCTCCACCCCTCTCACTCTTCAGGATTCAGGCTGCAGCGATGATGGAACTCCTGGCCATGCTCATGGATCCATTTGTTTGCAACTGGAACATAAAGAAAGATGCATACTAGGTTTAACATCTTAAAAAAAACTCAGAAATAAATGTTTGCATCTTTTAAACATTTGGATAATTGTCTTTGAAGCCCTAACATTAATTTATCATTATGTATAAGGTTGCTAAAAACATCACAGCCACCAAATGCTTCTGCAGCTGCTCTGTGAAGATTAATATCCTTCTGTGAGATTAACTGGGTCCCTAACACATATTTCGGGAGTTTGATGGTCTGGGGCCAACCGGCAGCAGATGTTCAGCTTCCAAGATGAGCGCTCTGTGTGTCTGAACTGCACTTTGTAACATCTCTAAATGCATAATGCAGCACAGATGTTGCCTCGCTCTTGTACATTAGCTCCTGTACGACAAGAAAGCTGAACACTAGACCATAGTGATGATGCAAAAAAAGCCTAATCTTTTTAAAAAGAGAGCAAGGCAGACTCTGATAAATTGCTGTGCCTTGTTATTTTTCATACTGACATCACTGTTTGGCTCCTGTGGACAGCATCATCACATCATACCAAATCTACTGACTCTTACCCCATTTGTCTCCAATGAGCACCGGACAGCCAGCATGCAACGTGTCCACATCTCCTTGACCATTTCTGTGGAGATTCCACCAGAAAATGGCAGCTTTCTGTAAAATGAAAAACAACATAAAATATTTTCAGTAAATTATTACAAATATTTCTACAAAATATCAGTAAGTAGTGAAAATGGCCAATCACAGTGTAACAACAAGAGACACTCACAAGAGATCCCACAGTTACACTGTGTTATTAGTCTTTTTTATCAGTTTAATAGGTTCAGTTATGTTCTGTATAAACAGCCAGGAAGTGAAATCTCAACAAAAATGAAAAGTGAAAGGTTAAACCCCAGGAATGGCCTGGTAAACCTTCCACTTATTTCTCGACTGAAAAAAAAACAGCCTCAATCTCCACTGAGGCTCAACTATACAATAACAGCATTATCTCATGGCAGTTGTTGCCATAATTTGACCTTTTAGCATTTTGACAGCTGCAGTGGAGACTGTGAGGCACAGCGTGAGGTGAAAAGGATCTAGCCTGAGGCAAAAATGACATGAAGACAAAAGAGCAGCTCATCTTAGACATTCGCAGACTGTTTACCTCCACGACCGGAACGCTGAAGTTGGCGTAGATGAAGGCTGTGGACCCACCTGCCTCGACAGGGCTGAGCTGTGGAAAAGGACATTCCTTCAGAGCTGTGTCTTGTGTTTATGTGCTCGTGTTATAAAAAGCCACTCTGCCTGCTCCACTGTTTTAAAAGCCTCACAAAAAGTCTTTCTTTTTTTAATCACTTTCCAATTGTACTCAAATGTTCATATGGGATTCTTAATGATAATAACAAAACTATTAATATATGATGCCAAAACAGAGTTAAAAAGCACTTAACAGATTAGCTGCAAAATAAAAATTGATTAAATGAATGGAAGAAAAAAGACAGGGGCAAAAGTATAGACATAGGCTGTAATATAGAAGCCAAAGACAAAATTCAGAGTTTGGTTTAAGTTTGTTGCATGACAGAACATCCATAAAAGTGTAATTTAAGCACTGAAGTCACATCTAGTCACAGTTTCTCAGGCAGATTGTTCCAAAGGCCTGCAGCACTCATGGCAAAGGCCTGACCTCTGTGTTTCTAATTTAGACTCTGCCGCAGCAGGAGCAGGAACCTGCCCAACAAACTCTGGCTACCAGGGTCAAACAGGGTCACAAGAGCAAGACTTCACTCACATAAATCATGAAGGTTGCCACTCGATTCCCAGTTTTCAGCCTGAACACAGGACTTGAGGGCGACTGGAAAATTGAAAAGTTGATAAAAGAATAATGTTGAATAATGCAAAGACAACATGCAGCATGCAAAGTCCATAGCAATATAATCAAGTACTGGAACTCAAAATCAGCTTACTGTTGCATG